CTTGCTGTTCTTGGCAATTCCAAGATCTAGAGTTCGGGTGGAGGGCTGGGTCAGATGGACTGGAATCCACGAATCGGGCTCTGCTGGTGTTGGGACGCAGCCACGGTGGCGCAGCGGCCCCTTCCCACCCTCGCCGGTGCTGTTCTTGGTGGCCCTGCACAGCGTCCCCACCCAGGCTCACGTCTTCACCTTCATGCTTCCGAAAGCCTGGCTCGTGCCTGCACCTCCTCTGTCTTCATTTCATGGAACCCTGCCCTTCGGAGCATCAGAAGCTGCTCGACTCAAGATACAGACATATTTTGGGGCGCCTGGGGTCTTAGTCGATTAAGCGTCGGAATTCAGCTCAGGTCATGATCTCACAGTTCGTGAGTCCGAGCCCCGTGTTGAGCTCTGTGCTGACAGCTCAGAGCCTGGAGCTGCTTCTGATTCTGTGTCTCCCTCTCTCTCTGCCCCTCCCCTGCTCACGCTCTGTCTCTCTCTTTCTCAAAAGTAAATAAACATTAAAAAAAGATACAGACATATTTTTTCCTGACTTTTGTCTCCATAATAGTGTGTATGCTCAGCAAGGGTGTGAAATAGTTATCCCAGGCCCCCCCCGCGCCCCCACCGCTGCTGTCATGTGTGTGCCCCGGGGTCTTGACACACCACCTGTGACCAGGCTCTCGGCACCTCCATCAAGGGGACACATCAGGGGTTTTCAACGGGGGCCGATTTTGCTCCCGGGGGCATATATGGCGAGATCCGGAGACATTTTTGGTTAGAGTAACTGTTGGGGGCGTGGGTGCTCCTGGCATCTCGCTGGGTCTTGGCGGGGGTGCTGCTAACACCCCTGACGCACAGGACAGCCCCCCGCACTGGAGTTATCGTCCCCAGAAGGCGGCAGCGCTGAGGTGTCGGAAACCTGGACACACGGCTCTGCAGGTGAGTCGAGATCACAGGGCCTCCGTGGTCACGTCGTGGATCAGCGCAGGGAGGTGTCACTTCACGGCTTCGGATCTCCCTGCGAAGGAACACGGTGCACCTGCCCAACCCGTGGGCCTTCCTCCATGCTGCCCGGTGGCACGTTCATGTCCTTAGGTGTTCCCGCGAGTGCGTCCCTGGGGCTTTCACGCTCTGTTGTCGCTGCCGCTTCCGTCACCACATCTGACGATGTTGGTGCACATGACATCTACCAACGCCTGGGCTTTATCTGTGAGCTCAGGCCCTTCCTGAGATCTCTTCCTGTGGCATTAGGATTTCGGTTGATTTTCTTGGGGTTCCAGGTCTGTGGCCCTGGCATCTGCAAATATAGATGCCTTGCCTTCGTGTGCGGGCTGGAGGCAGGGGGCTCCGGGAGGGTGGCGAGTGGAGCCTTTACCGCTCCCCTCCATCCACCATGACTCCTTGCACCAACCTGGGGCTCTGAAGGAGGCAGTGAGGACCGTGAGTCCCTGAGACCGGGTGACCAAGTGGCTGGGAGTCAGAGTGGAGAAGACCGTTCCCAGCAGCCTGGCTCTGCAGAGGGAACACTGTTCCTGGCCTCCCTCCAATGGGCAGGCTGGCAGAGGGAGCAGGGGCCTCTCGAGCGGGGTCTGGGAAGGGCTGTGGGCTCTGCGAGGAAGTTTGGGGGCCATGTCACACAGACTCCTTCCTGAGCACCCACAAGCCCCCCGGGGGTCCCGGGGTACGTGGGGGGGGGAAGCAGGGGCTCAGGGAGCACGCAGCCAGGCTCTTCCCCGAGGCCGGGAGCGGGGGTCCATGTGGGTGACCCGTGTTCTTGCCTTTCCCCCACACACTGACCTAACCCGCCCACAAGGAGTCAGACTCTTACGTTTAATGCTGAAAAATAAGTACAAAAGGAAAAAAACAAAGGTCAGGAGAGGCGGTGCCTGGAGGTGGGTGTTCAACAGGCTCAGGTGATGGTGCGTTTACCACGAGCTCTGTGCCGAGCTGTGCGATGCGTGGCCTGTGTCCAGCTGTTCAGAGACTTGTATTTTTTGATGTTTATACCGATATTGTTTATGCACTGCCTTGTCCTAGGGCTGCGGTGACAAAGTGCCACACACTAGGTCTCATGGGGACACCGGCCAGATTGCATCAGGGCCACCCTGGTGACCTTGCTTTACCTTAATCACCTCTTTAAAGACCCGACCTCCAAATAAGGCTACCTTTTGGGGTGCTGGGGAGAGGTCGTCACCTTATGAATTTGGGGGGCACACAATCTAGTCTGTAAAATTCACCAACATGACTTGCATCTAAAAGAAAAAGAATCTCAGATTTGGTTCTAAAGTAAGAGTGGTTCCAGGGGGAAATCACAATGGCTGTTTCTTCCCAGATAACACGGGGGTGAGGGGGGGTTGCCAGGGGATGGTGGCCCCAGACCTGTCACCAAGCACGTGTCTCTCGGAGGCACCAGATGTCCCAACAGACCAGGCTCAGGCTCCTGGGTCCTTTGCTGCCTGGCTGGAGTCTAACCCCCCCACCCCCGACCCCCCAGCAACACCAGCTTCCATCTTCCAAAACACTGAGGCAGAGGGAGGCTTCGGTCACTGTGCATAAATTAACGTCTGCCACATCGCGGGGGCGGCAGACACATGGGGGGCTCTTTCAGGGTGTGTTTTCCCAGCCCACAGCTGAGGACACCAGAGATGATGTGGGAGGGCAGTGGGGGTCCACGGTGACAGGGTGCGCATTTCCAGAGGACGTCAGCAGGGGTCGGTCTAGGCTCACAAACGCGCAGGTGGGGACAGACCCTCAGAGTGCTTTGGGGATCTTTCTGGGGTTTCTGGGCTTGGAGCTCGAAGAATTGAAAACTTGCACTAATGATAAACTTTCATTCCCGCCCTTCTGCAGGGCAGCTCTGTTCTCGGGGCCACGTCCTTAGCATGAGGTTCGTTCTGGAAGCCAAAAGATGACAGAACTGGGCTTTCCTGCGATTGTGTCAGAATGAGGGGCTAGTGAACCAGAATTCTAGAATCAGAATTCTAGAATAGAAAGAAAATGGCATTTCTCGCAATTTTTGTTGAAGGCTTTTTTAAAAATGTATGTTTATTTTTGAGAGAGAGCGTGAGCAGGGGAGGGGCAGAGAGAGAGGGAGACACAGAACCGGAAGCAGCTCCAGGCTCCCAGCTGTCAGCACAGAGCCCGACGACGTGGAGTTTGAACCCACAAACTGTGAGATCATGACCTGAGCCGAAGTCCAGCGCTTAACCGACTGAGTCACCCAGGCGCCCCACATTTCTTGCACTTTTGACCTTGAATCTGAGATTCAAACCCATCCCTCCCATCCCTTGCCCACCCCTGCCAGCCGCCAGCAAAGAGGAAGGTCCTTACCTGCCCCTCATAACCCAGGGGCTTGAGACCTAGAAGCCTCTCCCCCGAAAGGGTAAATCCAGACACCTAGGGACCGCTATTTAAGTTCCGTTTGCTTGACTTGTAAGGTTTTTTTTTGTTTTTTTTTTAATGTTTTATTTATTTCTAGGAGAGAGAGAGAGACAACGTGAGCAGGGGAGGGCCAGAGAGAGAGGGAGTCACAGACTGAAACAGGCTCCAGGCTCTGAGCTGGCAGTCAGCACAGAGCCCGACGAGGGGCTCGAACCCACGAACCGCGAGATCATGACCTAAGTGAAAGATGGACGCTTAACCGACTAAGCCGCCCAGGCGCCCCTGACTTGTAAGGTTTTTAATTATTATCATGATTAGTATTGTGCGGGTGGCCCCAGGGGATATCCAGGAGAGAAAACAAGGAAATGCTTCTTCCCAGCCACGTACTTGCTGCGGAGAAAGAGGTGGCTGGTGGGGTGCCCCGTGGACCGTAGGAGGTGCTGCGCCCCCCACCCCAGGGCACCCATTGGCTCTCTGGTCAGTTCCTGCAGGGGTGCGTGCAGGCTTGTTTCCCAGGACTGTGTTGTGCTGTCCACCAGGCCGGCGAGCGGGGCCCCTCTGCTCTCTGCTCTGTGTCGGCTTTAGACTTCTCTGTGCTTGGAGACAGAAAAATGACCTCAGGAGTAAAACAAGGGACGAACACTTTTATCTTCCTCTCTGGAGGCACAGGGCGACTCCACAGCCTGGGTGTGTTCCTTGTGACGTGGCCGCTTCCGGGGACAGTGGGCACTTCCCTGAGGCACGGGTCAGCCACGGTCCCACGTCGCGACAGTGAGATGTCAGAACGGGAGTGCGCCGGAAGAGCAGGAAGGCCAGTCGGGCTCGCACGCCGTGGGGGCGGGGTTTGTTTGGTGCACCGAATGCGTTGGCGGTGGGGTCCGGGGTGACCAGTGGGCGGTGGGGGAGACAGTCCCATCAGCCACCTGGACCACCCGCTTCAGAGCCGGGGCACCCCTGGATTTGCAGCATCCTGGAAGGGGTCACTGCGCCGGTGGGCATCTCCTGTGAGTCAGGGCAGGACGCGCTCCCCCCGCTGGCAAAGCACCTCCCCCCGCACCTGACCACAAGGGAGAAAAGGAGAAGCTGGGGCAGGCCTGCACGGAGGGAGGTGACTCCCGTCCTCATCCTGGGGACCCTGTACAAGCGCCCAACGTGCAGGGTGTGGGGGATGACGATTGTCCCCAAAGACACCCCCATCCCGAGCCCAGACCTGCGACTGTGTTCCTCACGGGGCAAAAGGGACCATGCAGATGGGGTAAGTGAGATCTGGAGGCGGGAGGCCACCCTAGGCTATCGGGGGGACCCTCTGTAATCGCTAGAGACCTTACCAACGGGGGGGGCCTGAGCCAGATGGCCACGTGGCGGTGGGAGTGGAGGGCAGGGAGAGACCTGAAGACCCGGAGTGTGTGGATGGAGGCGGGGAGGCGGGGGTCTCTGTGGCTGGGAAAGGCCGGGACCCCCGGAGCCAGCTGACCTGTCTCAGAAGCCCTGACCGCCCGAGCTGATTGGTGTGTGCGTGCCTCAACACTCGTGTTCCCCCGACTGCCGCTCCGTGACGACGGGTTACAGCGGCAACAGGAAACCAGCACCCAGGGAGTGGACGTCGAGGTGCGGGTCCCCGATTTCCAGCTGGTGGCTGGTTTCTCAAGAGATTTTATTGACTATTGTGTCCCTTTTGGCCTGTGTGGGTGTAGCCAAAAGGGCGTTGAAACAGACCCGGGAGAACGATGGGAACGAGACTCATCAGAACCCACGAGCCACAGCGGGCACGGCCTTCTGTCCTCTGTGGTGGGTCGCAGTGGCTGGCTTCCCTCCGGGCCGCGCGGCATGCCCACGCCTTACTGGGTCTGAGCTCGCGGGACAGAGGGCCACTGGTGGCGGCTACAAAAGTGGCAGCGGGTGGGCGAACATCCTGGGAGGTGAAAGTGCGTCTTGTGCGGCTGCAAATCACGTCGAGGGGGCGTAGGACGCCCTCAAGCGCCAGCGTTGCCCGGACCCCGCCAAGAGCTTTGCCTCCTAGGCGCGGAGCCGCGCAGAGCGAGCGCGAGTCTCTCAGCTGCCGGGGATCCAGTTTGTCCAGTTAAACGCGGAGTTTGAGCCATGGGTCAGCGTCTTCACAGGAGGGTTCACCAGCTCCCACTTCCCTTCCTCTTTATTTTCTTCGCAGAAGCACATACCCAGAGAAGGAATCTAGGACAGAGTTTTCAATCACTTATTAATATCTTACACGAGGTCGGTCGAGCTTACGGTCGCTCTAAAGCCAACGTTCAGGCCCTGCTGGGCCGGGCAGGTGGGCAGGTGGGCACGATGGGTCCTGGAGGGCGCCGCGGCCTTAAACATGATGCTGGCATCTCACACAGCGGCGCCAGCGGGGATCGCGCTGCTCTCTCCCATGGACCGGGGCCAGGTCTGCGGACGTCATCGCTGGTCGCACCGGCAGTGTGTTGGCACCGGGACGCCCCGGGGCACAGAAGCACCCGGCCCGGGGCTCAGCAGCGCCCAGGCTGAGAAGCCCAGGCTACGGCTTCAAGAGTGACTTACATTCTCAACTTTGGCATCACAAAAAGACACAGGCATTGTTTTCAGACCCCAAAAAACACCCCGCAAAGTGAGACTTTAGACCTTAGTCTCTTCATCTGTAAGATGAATGTGTTTGTATAGATCTTTGTGTTTAAGGCTTTTGTTTGTTTGTTTGCATGTTTTGCTGTCCTGTTTTTCCTCTCTCTTTTGATGTCCAGAAATTTCTTGGTGAGACAAAATTTGCAGAAATTCCAACGTGTGTCGGGGGGAGTCTACATGGAGGATGGTGCTGACTCAGGATGACTCTCTCCCGCTTAGAGAGACTGTGCCTGTGTGTACATGTGCGCGCACATGTGTGCATACGTGCACACACATGTATCTGTACGCACATGTGTACTTGTGTGCATACACGTGCACACGTGAGTATAGACACGTGTGCATGCATGCATGTGTGTATACACACGTGTACATGTACAAGCACACATATGCATGCATGTGTGAGTGCACGTGTGAATGCATGTATGTACACGCACTTGTACACACATGTACGTGCATGCGTGTATGTGTGTGCACATTTGCATATGTGCATGCACATATGCCTGTATATATGTGTGTATGTGTGTGCATGTGTGAACCTATGTGTATATGTGTGTTTGTGTGCAGGCATGTATGTGTGTGCATGCATGCATATGTGTGCGTGTATATATTGTGCAAGTGTACACTCGTGTGTCTGCATGTTCATATGTGTGTGTATGTGTGTATTATGTGTGTATGAGTGCATGTGTGTGTGCACAGGGAGGCAGCATGATGGGACAGACAAGGGAAAGGTCGTGAACGATCTGTTTCCATCTGTCCTTGATTTGAAGGCCCGTGGCTCCACGGAGCCCCTTGCAAAATTTCTGCTGTGCACAGGCAAGTCCAGCTTCTTTGGGGATGGGGTGGGGTGGACACCACACTGTCAGGATAAGAATGTTGTAGGAATTTGGAAGTTCAAGGCTGGCCAAGGGTCAGGGAGTGGTGGAAATTTGGCTGCAAAGACTAACAGGGTTTTGGAACAGCCTCAACATGCAACTGTCAGCACCTGGCATGTGCATCGTGGCCACTGTGGGGCTGACTGGGAGCCCCAGGAGGGGGTGTGGGACTAAGACCGTGCAGCACGGAGCACACGGGAGGTGGACAGGGCCTTCTGCAGGGGGGAGGGGTGCGGGGCCGGAGAGTGCAGCACGGAGCACACGGGAGGTGCAGGGGGGAGGGGTGCGGGGCCGGAGAGTGCAGCACGGAGCACACGGGAGGTGGACAGGGCCTTCTGCAGGAGCTAGCACAACAGCTGGGGAGCAAATGTGGGGGGACCAACCAGGAAAACACCCAGAAAAATCCATCCTCACCCAGCGTGGCCTTGAGCCCTGTATCCAGAGAGAGGTCAGTGGGTGGCCCAGGACCCGCAAGGACTCAGGAAAATCTGGGTCACAGTTGGGAAACCCCACCTTGGGGACCCCCTGGGGGACTTCCACTCAGGTCCAGAGAACGGGAGGAGAGAGGGTGCACGCGGGGAGGGCTCTCTGACACGCCCCCCACGTGAGGGAGCACCCGGCTTTCTCTGGTTGGCGGGGGGTGGTCTGAAAGCCCAGGCCTTTGCTTAGGCACAGAGCCCGCGTTGGCTAGGTGGGGCCTGGGACGGCTCCTCTGCAAACGAGCTGTGGCCGTCCCGGTCCTGTGACGATTTTGCACAAAGGAACCAGCTCAGGGACACGTCTCCCACTATAGGTGCCATCTATGCCACTCTACTCCCAGACTCAAGGTCACCGGCCAATTAGTTTGATAAAAAGGCCAAGGACAGGGACAAGTCAGGCCCTGAGTAGGTTTGGGGGGCAGGAGCAGGGGGTGTGTCTGGGCCCCCAGGTCGCCTGCCTTGAGCCATTTCACTGGGTGACGGTCAGCAGGTCAGCGCAAACTACTTGCTACCCTTCTCTACACGTCCGTCACCTGTTAGCTTTTCCTGTGAGTGTTTGCAGAGCCCCAAGCAGCCCCGGACGTGCTGGCCATGACCGCAGGTGCTTGTGATCCGTGGTGGGCTGACTCCAAAGGCAAGAAGGGGGGTTCCTTTCTGTCCTGCAGCCGCCGCCGTGTCCCCAGAGCAGGCCAGACCCGCAGTTGCCCTTTCTCCTTCTGTCCGCATGGCTTACGCCTCGCTGGACCATCTGGGTGACTACAGGGGCTGCCTGTGTTTTATTTTTCATAGTATCTGGGCAACAAATGGCCGAAGTTGCCCTAGTGATGAAAACGATGACGAACCGCTCCCGTCAGCCCCTGCCCAGGGCTGCCCCTTGCGCAAGAGCAGGCACGCACATTCTCAGGAGACCGGGTGGTGGGTTGGGGGTGTCCCTGCTGCCCTGGGTCATCTGGATGCCTGCTTTCCTTCTGGGAAGGGAGCGTGATGACCCTGTGTGCTCGGGGGGCTTGACTTCATGGCACATACCTTTCTCACCATCTGGGCGAAGTCTCTGCTATCCCGGGGGGGCAGCCTCAAAAGCGGGCGGGTGCAGGAGTCCAGCGCCGAGCCGTGGCTCACAATCAGGATGACACCCACTGTACAGAAAAGGACACCTCGGGGTCAGAGGAGGCACGTGAGAACGAGGGTCCCCAAGGCTGGCGGGCAGAACAACCCCACGGTGCACAGAAAACCTGGAGGGAGCCCGGGCAGGAAGCCACGCGGCAGGTAACCCCGGGTTACAGCTCCCCCGTGGGTGCGCATGGTCCCTGGGGCCCCCGCGGGTGCGCACGGTCCCTGGGGCATCCGTCCTCGGGCACCGTCTGGGGGCTGCAGCGCCTGCCGCCAGCTTCGCGGATGGGGCTGCGCCGTGATCCAAGCCGCCACCTCTTGCAGGATGTGGTGGCTGCCACCCAGGCCGAGTCAACAGCCCAGTGGCTGCCACGAGCCCACTGATGCCTCTATCTTCAATAACGACGTCCCGAGTCCACGGGTGGAGCGAGGCTCCCTCCGGTGGCGTTACTGCCTTGGGGATCAGGCACAGCCTGGGGGAGGGGGCTGGGCCAGCCTCGCGGGTCCACGAGGAGCTGTGGCCGGGCCCAGGGAATCCACCAGGAGGAGGGAGTCGGGTGGCGAGCTCCCCCTGGAGGCTCTGACACAGAACAGTTCTTCGTGCTGTAACTTCAGCACGACCGGAGCCCTGACACACTCAGCCTGGGCTATTTCCTCTTAATTCCACACTTGCCTCTCTGGCCTCCGATGTCAGGGTGCCGGGCCGGCTGGGAGGCAGACGCGCAGCTTGGACTCTGAGCCTGTGCTCCCTGTGCTCGGGGGCCGTGGGCATGAGGGCTCCCGTCCTCTGGGCTTCAAGGTCACAGGTGCGCTTGGAGGTGACACCAGGCTGCCCAGGACGGTGAGCAGTTCACAGATAACGTCTGCTGGGGGCCGGGAGGGGTTGGCTCTCACCTTCCAGGCCGCCTGGAGTTTCCTTCTTCCTCTGCTGCGGCCACACCTGTCACACTCCCATGTGCCTCACGGTGTCCCTTCTCCGGCACCGCTCACCTTCCAAATCTGACTTGTCCTGTCCCTGACGGCCTCCGCCACACGTGCAGCACCAGGGACGGATGGGCTGTGTCCCCTGCGGTGAGCAGCACCAAACGTCCCCTTCAGTGGGCGCTGGAGCTAATAGAGCAGATCCCCATCCCTGTCCTGGAAGCCCTCACCCCTGTAATGGGGGTCGGGGAGGGGTTCTCAGAAGGGCAGAGCATCCCGTGGACACGGAAATCTAGCTCAGGACGGAGGCTTGAACTGGAGCAGCTGGACGGTGGCCGCCTGAGGATGGGCCCCGCGTCACACAGCGAAAGGCTCTAATGTCGTCTTCCGTCCTGGGCTGCAGGTGTGGTTTCTGGAAGCATATTTCCCAGGGTGCCAGCTGGTCAACAGAGGCCATTTGTAAAGCAGCCGCGTGGCCGGCTGTGTCTGGGGGAGCTGGCACGGCAGGCTTGGGTCTCTTGCCACAGGATGTGTGGGGAGGCTGGTGCTCAGCTCTTCCCTGAGAGCGAGAACGGTCTTCCGGTCAGCAGACGCTGCTGCCCCGAGTCAGCGGGATGAGGGACGGGCAGAACCCGGCGGGGAAGTGAGCCTGGTGGTCTCTCTCTGCCTCGGAGGCTCCTCCTCGTGCTATTCAAGGTTCCCAAGATTCTAGATGCCGCGCCTCCTTCCCCAACAATATCCAAACTCTTCCAGGGTAGCGCGCGTGCCCTCTTCCCTCGGATTTTCCCCACGACGTTTTATTTGGTCTCTGACGCATCACTGATGTTCCCGTATACGTGTACACATGCTAACTTAAAATTCTAAAGGGTTTCACTATGGATGTTTTCAAATATACCCAAACAGGCCCCTGGGGGCCTAATGCGTCTTGGGGCCGCGATGGTGTGACATTTGCACATTGTGCGCCGTCCGTGAGCTACCCCGCCTCTCCCCTACTAACTAGCCGTGCCGCCATTTCACAGAACATACCTCAGTCTGCCCCCCTCCACTTCGCACCCCGCCACACCCAGCCTGCCACTGTTACACCTAACAGAATTCACACAGTTTCTCAGGTACTTCCACATTCAGATTCCACATTTAGACTCATATTCAGGTTTCTCTAATGGTCTCAACCGTACAGAGGTTTTGTTCGGATGTGACCTGACATCTGGCTGTTCCATTCTGCCTTGTTTCCTGGAAGCAGATGCGAGTGGGACCCTGCCATCCTGGATCCAGTCATCTCTCAGTGACAGAATCGGGACCCCCAGGGCGGTGACAGGTGTCTACGCACCCTGTTACTGCAGAGGCCTCTGTGTGACACTGTTGGTTGGGAAGGGGGGTCAACGAGGTTGGGGCTTTCCTAGACTCAAAAACATGGCCAGTTTCCACTGTGGAGGAAAGACCCCCCCCCCCGGGGGGCTGCCATCCCCAGGGCTGGGGGCTGGGGGATGGGGGGACCCTTACCGTCCTGTGGGCAGGTGCTGGTGATCCATCCGACGCTCACCGCACACCTGTTCACATACTCATCATAGCTCTCGGCCGGCAGGAGGGAGGCGAGGGGAAACGCAGGTCTGGGGAGGAGAGGGGGTATGGGCTTGCCGTGTGCTCAGCCGGGGGAGAAGCCCTCCCAGCGGGGCAGGGCTCGAGGTCCCCAGTGACACTCCGCTATGGGCCCCAAACTGGCCGAGGGCCGACGTGTCATCTCCAGCAAGTACTCCCACTGAACACCAGGAGGGTCCGTGATGGCAAAGTCGGCAGAGAATGACAAACCATGTCTCCTGGGCCACACCCCACCGGGCTCCTCCAGCCTGTCTCATGGGGCCGGTCTCAGGCTTCAGGCTTCAACTGTATAGAGTTCGTTTTAGCAAGACCCCTGCTGACGCAGGGAAGCCGGAAGCCCCACCCTTGGTATCTGCTCCCACTTGAATCCTGAGCAAACTCTGCCTCCCTGTGGTGTCCCTGCTGGTGATGCCCGCTCACGCCCACCCTGGCCCGCCTCCAGGAGGCTGCTGCTCTGGGGGTTCACGAATTGCCCCGCCCTCCCAACATACCCCCCCACCCCCCGCCCTGAGCCTCCACTAGAAACCTTCACTTGTCCTCATTACATTCAGAGCCGAGTCCAGTCCTGGTCCCCGGTCACAACCCCCCAGTGCAGTGGTCCCCAGAATACCGTCTTCCTTACGATCTTTAACACTGTTGTGAATGTTTCTTCTTGAGCAAGAGCTGGGAAGGCAGCCCCCCCGCACCCGGCCCTGGAAGATGGGGAGGCGGTGGCCTACCTGTAATCCATGCTGACGTTGAAATCCGCCTCTTTCAGCTCGTCCAGGGTCATGAGGGTTGGGGTGGTTTTGCCGGACTCCCATTTTGTCCATTCAAAGATGCCGGGTTCCACTCTTATCTTAATTTTTTTCTCCAGTTTGAGCTCTGGATCCAACAGAATACAAGCGTTTGTAATCTTCAGTGTCTGTTTTGGCTTTAGGTAAGTGAGTCTCTTCTTACACTTAAACAATACTTTTTAAAAAAATGTTGAGTTTTTTTTTTCTTGACAAATATTGTTCTCTGATTACTTACAGCTATGCTATTTCTTTTTTTTTAAAGTTTATTTATTTATTTTGAGAAAGAGAGAGAGAGGGAGAGAGAGAACCCCAAGCAGGCTCCAAGCTGTCAGCGCAGAGCATGACTTGGGGCTCGAACTCACAAACCATGAGATCATGACCTGAGCTGAAATCAAGAGTCAAACACTTGACCGACTGGGCCACCCAGGTGCCCCTGTTGTGCTGTTTCTGAGACAGAACCCACCAGATGGTTGAAAGGCATCTGAGGAGCAGCAGCGCCTATCCATGCGGAAGGGGACAGAGTCTGCCTGGGCTGCAAGATGGGGTCATCAGTGGGCTCACCCTGGCGCTCACCCTGACAGTCCCATATAACTCTACAGCCACGTCAGCACTGGGCCTCGTCCTTGGTCACGAGCGAGAGCGCACCATGTTGACCAACCCAGTGATCTGTGGAAAAGACTCAGCCAATCGAGGAACACGGTGGTCACACGGAGGCACCATCCTGACGGCCATGCAGACTGAGGAGAAGGTGAAGGGTGGGGGAGCCGTCTCTCAGAACACCCAGACTTCCCCCAGCTACCCTTCCCAAGCACTTCATACCTCGACTAAGAGAACACCTATAGCGTAAGGCCACCTATTTGAGGGGGGGAAAGAAGACCTGAATGTTTTTTATCTGAAATGGAGAAAATGTCATTAAGCTCCAATGCTGGAAATGAAATCAGTTCCCAAAATGTATTCCAGGTCCATGGAGCAAGTTCCTTTGCCAAGGCACATTCACGAAAGGGAGTCACAGGGTCTAACCAGGTTCCTGAGTGCCCCCCACCCCTACCCCCGGCCCATGAAGGGCCCGGGTCCAGTGTGAATAGGTCACTCGAGGGAACAGTTGGAGAGGTTCCCAAACGGGCTTGGCCACTCCATCTGTGGCGCCATCTTGCCTTAGTTCTGTGGGTCACACTTTGGGAAATGGTCCATACAGACAGTGAAATTAATGGTCGCATGTAAGCTCTCAGATGTCAGTCTGAAAACAGGTCAGTCCTGTTCCAGGACTTATAAAGAAGGTTGAGTGTCCTCATTTTCCTGAACGACACAGGATTTATAAACTTGGACTTTGGTGGCATCATGATAATTAATAAGGAAGCACTGCATGTAGACCATGAGAGATCATATTAGAGACGTTGATGCTCTCATCACCAGAGAACGTTCCTGAGAACTTTTTATTTCACTAGCCGAGCCCGCCCGTCATTAGGTCTGCTCTCCACCTGCTCCTCCATGTCCGCACCTGCGAGAAGGCCCCAGGTCCAGTCGTGGCTGGGTCTCCACGTAAAGTCAAGCTCACTGACCTCCGTGGGCTCTTCCCCCTGCCCAGTGGCCATCCTCCATCTCTCTGATAGGCAGGCCATGCCTTCCGTGCGCCCCGAACCTCCAGAAGGCCTTCCCTTTCTCACTGCCAGCTGGTGGCCTGACCCCCGCTGTCTCTGGGAAAGTAGAGGCAAGCCCCCTCCTCCACATCTGCACATCTGCTGTGCTTGTGTCCACGTCCTCTGTCCCATCGTTGTGGGGCTTCGGCCCGTGCTTCTGCGCTGCCGACTACATCACATCCTCCTGCCCCCCAAAGAGGGCAGGGCAGGGGTCCAGCAGCAGATGCAGAACCAAGGCCCCCAAGCCTCACTTCTCCGGAAGGAACTTTCTTTTTCCTGTAGGCAGAAGCAGCGAAAGATGGTCTGGGGGCTTCCCGAGGGACATCAGTGGGTGGTGGTGCTGGACAGCTCCCCTCGCCCAGGCAAGAGCCCTGAGCTTTGCACTCAGAAGGAGCCACGGCTGTTCCCAGCTCTGGGCTTTTGAAACCCCTCCTCAGATGTTGTTTAAAAACAAAACAAAACAAAACAAAACAAAACAAAACAAAACAAAACAAAACAAAACATGGCCCAGGCGCCTGGGGACTCTGTCAGTTAAGTGTCCAACTTAGGCTCAGGTCATGATATCATAGTTCACGGGTTCGAGCCCCGTGTGAGGCTATGCTGTAACAGTTCAGAGCCTGCTTGGGATCCTCTCTTTCTCTTTCTCTCTGCCCTTCCCCTGCTCTCTCTCTCTCTCTCTTTTTTAAATAAACATTAAAAAAACACATGGCAGACACAGGCAGATGCAGGTGGATGGTGCGACGACAGCCTCGCGGCACTCCATCACAACCGTGGCATTCCAGGAATGCTGACGGGCTCAGTGCCTGCTGACAGCTCTCGGAGGCACTCATCTGCTTCTCATGCCCGTTCCCTTCCCTCCCGTCTTTGGAGAATAACCATGAGGTCAAGTCCACCTGAGATGCTCACTGGCGTTCTCACCAACCTTCGAGGATGTGTCTGGCTGTCTGCACACAGCGGAGGGCTGGGGAGGTGAAGACGGAGGTGATTCTGATGCCACTTTCCAGTAGTGCTTCCCCTGGAAAACAGCAGGTGGAAAACGTCTCTTCAAAACTGCAGCCTCTCCTGGGGGAGACTCTGACGGTTGGCTCACTACCTGAGGCAGGCAGGATCTTAAATGGCCAGAGACTTCCAGCCCCCTGTGCACACACCTGTATGGTCCCCGTGAGTGGCTGGAGGCTGTGAATGTGAATGTGTTGTGTCATGTGACAGAAGCGAGATAATTACAGGTATGCCTGACTCATCCAGGTGAGCCCATTCAAAGCAGACATTTATCTCTGGCTGTCACAGAAAAAAAACAAAGAGATTCAAAGGTAAGGGGATTCCACATGCAAGACATTCCCTATCTCTGGCCCCAGAGATGGAAGGGACTGCATGGCAAGGAGCATGGGGGCACTGGGTGCTGAGAAAAGCCCTTTGCTGATGGCCAGCAAGGGAACCAGGGCTTCAGCCCCACGACTGCAGGGAACGGAGTTCCCCCAACAGGCTTTTGGGAGAAACTAGAACTGCTTCCAAGAGGTTCTGGATGGGAGCTCAGCCCAGCTGACAGCTGCATTTCAGACTGTGAGATCCCGAGCAGAGAGGGACAAGCCTGGAGTGCACATTTCCTCTCAGAAAATTAGGGGCCCTGGTCCTTGCGAAAGAAGGAGGCCTTGTTAGGAAATGCACGGTGCCAAAGCTGGTGAGGCTGTAGAGGAGGCTGTCATGGGCTGGACTGTACCCCCCAAATTCACCTGCAGGGCTCCTCACCCTCAGTTACTCAGGTATGACCTACTTTGGGCACAGTGTCAGGTGGTCACTGGGGGGCTCTAGGCCAATCTGACCGGCATCCTTCTCAAAGGGGACAGTTTGGACACAGACATGGTGGGCACAGAGGGAGGTGACGTGAAGACCCAGGGAGAAGGTGGCGTCTATATGCCCAGGGCAGGGGCCCGGAGCAGACGTCCTCACAGCCTCAGGAGGAACTCAGACTCCTGGCTTCCAGAGCTGCGAGAGAACACATCTCTGCCGAGGAAGCCACTCCGCCTGTGGTACCTCATTAGGGCGGCCCCCGGAAACAAGTGCAGAGGCCAACAACCGCCCACACGGACGCCCCTTCACAGACCCCGAGCTCCTCCCTGTAACCAGCCGTGCGCACACACACACACACATCCCTCGTTTTTTGATTCCAGTTTCTCAATTCATAGAATGGAGACCAGATGAATCCATTGGCTTCTTTTGCTCCCCAAAGTCAATCACGCGGGACCAGAACCCCAGACGTAAAGCGTAAGCCCCGACCAACAGCTTTGAAATAAAATCAAAGAGGATGTGTTCTTTTTTTTTTTCATTTTTAGTGTACACAGTGGTCATTGATTTTCCTCCCTTCTTTTGTATCTTTCATGTCTTCCGACTTCCCCAACTATCCATCCTGGGTCAAACCCCTGCACTTGCACTTACTAGCTGTGTGACCTTGTGCAACATACTTAACCTCTCTGTGCCTCAGCCACCTCCTCAGCAGAATGGGGATAATGCTAACACGGACTTCGGAGGGCAGGTGGCAAGGGCTCTAGATGTGTTTGTGATCATCTTGGCTGTGATTATTGTTACTATTCCTGCTAGAATGATCCCCGAACATACCTGCCATTCGGGACTGGAAAATTCCACACGATGATAATGGAGGATCATTTTCAAAGTCTTTGATACCATTGCTTCTTCTGGGCAGACTGCAGGGGAAGTTCAGGTCTGGCCGGTAGTATTTCCCTAAAACATAAATAAGCACCAGGCATTCAGGTCCATCAACTTAGTGCATGTTTAACCCCCACAAGATCAAGACCCACAGGAAGCAGGGTTATCATTTAAATTGTCATCTGTGTTTTTTCTTAGAGGTGCTCTGTGATGTGAATTCAACTGGAGAGATATTCTGCTCTGCTGTGCACACATCTCTTCAAATGCAGAAGATACAGATGTTAGCCCCAGGAAGCATGAGAGCCTCTTCGTCCCCTGAGGACACCTCAGGAAGATTCACTCAATACAATTTTCCTGATTAAGCACGGAGTGTCTCCATTACTGTTTGAGCTTAACTTGATAGACATCTCAAGTTCGCATTAATTACGGAGGTGAAATTCTATCTATCCCTGTAGCTGGCAGTGCATCATATTGTCTTCGGGGACTGAGTGCATATGGCCCGAATATTCCTTCATTACTAGTTATTCAGTCAGTTGCTGAGGCGTGCCTGGATGGCACCCACCATGAGGTGGGTCTGCGCGGCCTCCCCCTCAACCCTCCAACCAGAGGCTGCAAAAGGCTTACTCTGACTTTGACCTTGAGCTCTATGATCTGACAGTCTGGTGCATATCCTGGCATCACTAGTTACCAGTTACGTGATTAGATGCAACTGACTTACTCTCCCCTATGAGCGAAAGGGGGAAATGAATAGAGCTGTTACAGTGAATCAGTGGGGTGATGCCTGGATCCCAGCGTCGGGCTCAGGGGAAGTGGTTGCTAAGTGGTAGGCTTGACCTCATATAGGGTTATTGATTGCCCCTGCGGAGGACACTATGCCCTCACATCCCCCCAAACAACCCCAGACCTCCCGGCTGCTGGTGTTTCTAGTAGCCCAGCCTCCTTTCCTGAGACCGGCTGTACGTCCTGGGGTGGCCGGGTCACTAGCCCTGCCCGAGCGTGCCAGCCCAGCCCTCCGCACGACCTCTCAGCCCTTCACGAACATAGAGAGGCTACTTTGAATGCCTTGCTTCCATGCAGGAAGCTCCCTCCTTGGCATTTCCATTGGCAGAGACTGTGTTTGATGAAAGGCCTTCATTAAATGCCAAAACATATCTTGTGTTTGCTGGGGAAAATGGTGTTTGTTTTCTTCCCAGAGAAGGTCCATTGACGGTGTTGTATTCTCAGAAAGTGTTAACCTGCTCCCTCGGAGGTCTTTTGTCCTTGTTGGGATCCTCTCTGTGAGTGGCAAAGAGTGGGGCTCAGAAGAAGATAAGGATCTGGAGAAAAGTTAGGGTCTGATGGCGTAGAGATGGGGAGGTCACCTGGCCAACATCACTGAGAAATGAGGGGCCATATGAGGAGTGCGTACTTGGGCCAGAAGTGAGCAGAAACAAGGAGGAAAGCTGGGGTCCGAGGAGAAGCTGGCAGCACCCCCCGAACACCCCATTGTAATTGATTAAACAATGTAATACGCAAAGTTCGGACAAATTAGACTGTCAGTATTCGCTTTATCAAGGGCTGCTCTGCCTTGTGGAAAGAGCCACCAGAAGCCTCCTTCCAGCTGGGAATATCCAGCGTCTTTGGGTAGGTGGCTCAGCCTTTTGTCTGGATGACCAATATTCTACCTCTTTCCATGACGTCCAACGACTAGTTTTGGTGTTGGCTGTTTTGCGTCGGTTCCCGCACCGCACGACCACACGCACGCTGCAGTGGTGTGTCATTTCAATCTGTGGTTTCAATAATTGTTGTATTACAAGGAAGTTTCTTCTCACGGCACGTCCGAATGTCAGTTTACCCTCAGAGCCACCTACCGTCCTCTTGTTTCTTTCCTGAGCCTTTGTGTCTGTGGCTGATCTTGTTTAGAGAGACAGGCACAGCATCACTTCCGCGGCGTCTCGTAGACATGTTTGGCCATGATGTAATCCGTTCAGAATTTTCCTGGTGCCTGCTGGTCATCCGCCAGTGGTTTTCCCTACTCATTTCCCCCTTTTCTCATCTTGCTGGGCTCCTAGAGGAATTCCGAAAGAGCTTAGCTAGCACAGTTACTGTGAATGGATTTTATCACTATGTTCATTCAATATCTTCAGTTATACAATCATCCGCGGGTCAGACATGGTCAAGCTGGGCTTTCCGCTCAGGGATGTGCGTTGGTATAGATGTGCATCGTTGTGGGTGGGCTGTATTTTCAAGCACTGTCCTTCGTTCCTGGCATCCAGCGGGGTGAACTTGGGGTAAGCAAGACACACGTTCAAAATATGTCCCTCAGTTGAGTAGCATAGCTCAGCATTGCAGGGAAGTGACCGCAGCAGCAGAGATTATCTCAGAGAGATTCAGTAAAATGAGACTGAGATAGGGCTGTGCCGGCAGCTGAGGGTTCAGAGACCGCAGGTCACAGTGACATGCTGTCAGGTCACTGCTGCGCTCACTAATCAACTGCCATGTCTGTGCGTCCAGAATCAAGATGACTGTCCGTGTGTCACACCAGCTGGTTGCTTACTGTTGAGAGCCATTCCCCCATCTTCCACAAAGTATTTGTGGTAAGACACTCACAGATGGCGTACACACTCAGTGCGTGTATGGAATGTCTCTGGAGAAAGATGTAGCACGTACCCCTCCCACTGTCTATCCACAGTCACTCTGAAGAATGGTGCCACAGGGCACTGGGCTCAGGAAATGTCATTTGTTAGATCTGTCTACTTTCTGGGTTTAGATTCTGCCAGGACATTACCTACCATCAGGAGTGGAGCACTGCTGCAGCCACGACTTCCCGAAGATTTGATCCACTCTCTCCCCATGGCGTACCACCAACACACTCTTCCTCGCTATCGTGGCCTGAGATGGAGGAGCACAGACATGGGCGGGTTAACATCCCCGTTTTTAGACTCACTCAATGGACACTTCCCCTTGTCATCAGACAGGTCACTAGAAATGGAGTCTCATCCTTGCTCAGGGACCATAGCCCATTTCACTAAAGTCATTGCAATGAAAGAAGATTGGGAATTGAAGGTGGAAATCTCTTTAATTTCTGGTGACTTTCTACTTCCTGGGCATTATGACATTATAAAGGGAAAGAAAACCAACAGGAATAACTCGTACCATACGTCAACTTGTCTACCTTTCTGTTTCTTCCAAGTCCTTACTTAACCCTTGCCCCTATGGGCTGCTGTAACAGAACACAACAGGCTGGGGGCTCATAAGCAACAGATGCTTATTTCCTACAGTTCTGAAGGATGCAAATCTGACATCAGGATGCCTGATGATCTTCTGGGCCAACTTCTTGCTGAGTCCCCATGTGGGGGAAGGGGCAGGGGATCTCCGAGGGGTCTCTTGTATCAGGGCACTAATCCCATCATGAAGGCTCCACATCCCCTTACTTAATCGAGTCACAGAGGCCCCACCTCCTAATGCTAGTACATTGGCAGTTAGGATTTCAACATAAGAATTTTGGGGGGGATGCAAACATTCAGACCAGAACATCCCTCCATAGTGACTTCTTAGGACACTTTATATCTATACATACATATTATCATATAATAGATATTGTGTATTTTATCTCTATATAGATACTGCTGTCAGCATCCCTGGGGCCTAGCATATTGGGAACATGAAAGTCAGAGGCTAGGACACAAGCTTCAGTTCACAAATACCTGACCTAGGGACCTTTGGATCTCATTGGGACCAAGGGGCAAACACGGAAAGATGAGTCACAGAAGAAGATGACAGGCAGAGTCGACAGTGGCTGCCACAGCAGGGGGCCTGGGGGACTTCAGCTAGGACATGGAACTTGGTCATGCCTGGAGCCAAGGTCACCAGGGATGGAAGGCCAAGGTCACTGGGGATGGATGGGCCAAGGTCACCAGGATGGACTGGCCAAGCTCACCAAGGGTGGACCAGCCAAGCTCACTGGTGATGGCCAGAAAGGGAAGGGCATCTGGGCAGGCAGCTCTAGCTGGTGGTCAGCTTGTCCTTTCCCAGTTCCTTTCCCACAGATGGATCCTTTCCTCCCGCTCCCCATCTTTGGCCTCATAGCAGTTTGAGGCTGGGCTTAGGGATGAAAATGAAGGAGCTGATATTGTGCTTGTTTCTGCTGCTGAGTGGGGTAAGGGCAGGGCGGTGCAAGACATGGCCGTCCGCAGCATGGACCCCCATCACCAGCCCCCAGTCCTGCTCTGATTTCCTCCAAATCCTAGGATGGAAAATGCAGATACCTTGGACACCCAGCACCCTGGGGAGACAGCGACACATCTATAACCCAGGCAATACTACTGACCATTCCCTTTCGGATTTGATTCTGCAAACAGAGTGGAGCCCGGAAGGACTGTGCCAGCTAGCTGCCTGCCTTCTCAGCACTTCTGAGTTTGTCAGCAGGGTAAAGCGGCACCGCGCGTTGGGACATGCTAGAAGGACCGGCCTCTCCGTGGTCTTGGGGCCAGGACCACGGACAGCTCCCGCCAGAGCCTCTGGTCCATCATGAAGTCCGGATCCGTGCAGAGTCTCCTGCGGCTTAACCCGCTGTCCATTCTCCGCCGGTCTGGCTGCATTCTGATGTGTGCGTGAAAAGTGGTGCTTGGGAGCTGGTGGAGCATTCCATGTTTCCATGCACAGGTTCTCAGGGCCTCCGGGCCCATTCTCCAAAATGGACATATGGTTAAAGCAAAGCTAATATTATGATGGCCTCTTAATACAGGGTGCAGATGTTCGGTTCTGGAGAAAAACGCCCACCTTCTCAGGCAGAGCACCAAAGGGGAGTTTGACCTGTGAAGTATGGTTGATGCCTATTTGCACCAGGATGCCTTTCTCCAGGAGAATGAACCTCAAAATATCTCATCCCCTGCCCCCTGTCAAGGGCTGCTCTGCAGGCAGATTGCAAGACACACAGGGCTCCCAGCCTTGGTCTGCTCTAAGTGCTGTCGATGCTTTGGGCTGGGGGTTTGAATTTGCAGCATTTGAACTTTGAAATGTAGAGTTTTGCAACAGGAGTATTAAGAAAAAGTGCGAGGTCCACAGGGAGTGGAATGACCTTGCTTCTGGGGTCTGGGGGACACCAGGACCATGTTGCCTCTTTAGACATGAGGTCCCCCAGTGGAGGCCCAGTGCTCTACCACCTGGGGGCTTAAAGCAAAAGACAGAGTTTGGAGGCTAGAATTCTGGAATCACAGTGTCAGCAGGGCCGTGCTCCCTTTGAGGTTTTGGGGATGATCCCTCCTGGCTTTCTCAGCTCCTGGGGTCCCAGCAATCCCTGGCTTTGGCTGAGACACTTCAGCCTCTGCCCTGACGTTCACAGAGTCTCATCCTCTGTGTTATCTGTGGGTTATCATCTTCCCTGTGGGTCAGATCCCATTTCTCTCTCTCCTAGCTGCTGCTGGGATTAGATCTGGGGCCCCAGGACTTTTCTTATCAAGACTCTTAGCTCAGGCCCATATGCAAAGAAGTTTCTTCCTTATAAGAGAACATTTGCAGGTTCCAGGGATTAGGACCCTGTTTCTTTGGGGCCATTCTTCAGTCTAGGAGCGTCCATTTACCAAAGCTGATGCCACTGTTTTCTTTTCTTACCATGGAGGGGAGACCTCAGACCAGGTGAGGAGGATCCAGCCATGCTGTGAGCTGACCCTCCTATTCCAGCTTCTCCCTCCTCCATCTGGAAAGGGGGGGGCATGGCCTCAGGGAGCCCCACCCCAGTCAGTGCCCACACCCCTGCACCCCAGCAAGTGGGGCAAGTCCAGCTTCCGCTGTGCTTTCCGGAGTTTGGGCAGTCTGGGTAAGGGAGCTCCGTTTTTGTCTGTCTCTGTCTGGTAGCCAGCAGCTGCTCTGCCTGGGCCGCTCCCTGCCTGAAGATCTGTCTACAGGGGATGCTCCATGGCCCCCTGGCACCCAATGTCCTGTGCTCAGTTCTTGTCTGGACCAAGCCCGCCCCAGCCTGGGGGCAGCCTCTGAGAGGCTGGTGGCTTCTTGGGGAAGAAGGGCAAGCTTTAGATTTAGGGCAATTCAATCAAGAGTCTTGATCAGGGTCTTCATTTGGTCATTCTGTGATTCCTCAGATGAGATTTACAAACCAGGCCCTGAGCCAGGTGCTGAGGACACAGGGATGAGCCGGACTGCACAGCCTACTCTCTGCACAGGCACAGTCAGCACTGAGGGCCTGGCCTGAGGTGGGCACCTCGTCTCACGTAAGCCTCCAAAACAACCAAGTTCAGAGGCGCTTAAGCTGCTTACCCTCCATAAGTCTCAGTCTTCACATCGGTAAAATGGGGATTAGCATCTCCCATGCTGGCTGGAGGTAGCTGGGATGAAATCCTCATGGAGGCACAGGAGGCGGGGCATGGAGGGACCACGATGGAAACTCCATGGGTCAGAGAGTCATCCCCACTGAAGTGGGAAGTGCTCAAGGGCTGGTTTACGTGCTGGCCTGTCCCAGGGGTTCCTGGGAAAGGAACCAGAGGGCCAGCCTGCCCACTGCCCCGATGGCATCAGGGATACCACGTCACTTGTGTGTTTTAGGGGAGGGGCTGCTGCTCTGAGGAGGCCCTGGGGCAGCCTTCACCCCTGCACGTGCCTCATGCAGGTGAGAGGGCTCCTGCACCCTTGCTGTGCCCCAGCGCCTGGCCCTCTGGGTTACCGAGCACCAGCCTCCTCTCTCCCAGTCCTGACTTGAAAGCTCAGAACCTCCATCTTTTGGGGCTCTGGGGGAGGCGACTTCTTCAGAGTCACACAACTTGCTAATGAGATCATTGGTATGAGTCCGGGATTCTGGGCAGGGCTGTGTCCCTGCGTTTTCCCTGCCCCACATCCTGGCATCATGACTGACCGAGTAACCGGGCACATGCTGCATGTTCTTGTAACACCCAGCAGGCTGCCATGAGGTGCTTGCAGCCTGGCTCACAGCTATGGGGCGTCCACCCCTCTGACCCCCCGGGGAGGAAGGAGCAGCGCGGCCACCCGGGTCTGTAGCCGTACCTGAGGGGCCAAGTCTCCCAGGGAGTTAACATAAAGTGTGGTTTCCCTTCGTTCACCTCGTAAAACAGGGAATTCCGTCACCTGTAAAGCCTGGATGCTGCTAATGTCCCTCGGCGTCTGTGGAGGGTAGGGTTCTCCATTTCGCCTGCTGCTGGCTTCCCCGTCCTTTCTGGAGACCAGATCCGTGGCCAAACTGAAGGTGTATGTCCTGTGGAGGAAGGAACGAGAGTGCTCCTGTCATGAAGATATTGGGAAACAACCGTCCGCATCCGGTCATGCATGGGCGTGGGAACACACACGACAAGATGGACAGGTAAGGTCATTGTTGAGGACAAAACACAACGGTGTGTTCAAGGAGCTCAGTGCTCGGCGCATGACCAACCCCGAGTAAATCCTGGTTGGCTGTCATCACTATGGCCACCAGTTATGGGCTGAGCCATGTCCCCTTGACATTTGGAGCCCTGACTCCCAGCACCTCAGAGCATGACTGTATTGGAAACGGGGTCTTTAAAGAGGCAATTAAGGTAAAATGAGGTCTGTAGTGTGGCTCAATTGTATCTTATAAGAAGAAGAGACAAGGAGGTACAGAGAAACACACGGATGCTGGTACAGGGGAAAGACCATGAAGAGGCACCAGGAAGGTGGACATCTACACGCCAAGGAGAGGGGCCCCTGGAGAAACCATGCCTGCCGACACCCTGAACTTGGACTTGCAGCCTGTGACCCTGACAGAATATATGTGGGTTGTTTCGGTCCCAGGTCTCTTGTGTGGCAGGGTGGCCCGGGCAAACTAGGACCATGTTCTCGTAGATTCACCTTCTAAAATAGCCAACGGTGGAAGGTGGGTGTGGCTGGGATGCAAGGATGGATGAGCAGGGAAAAGACACCTTAAGATCTAGGGAAACACAGAGGAAAGGGGTGGGACGGTGGGTGGACCAGCCACCAGTGGGTGGTACTCGGTGAGGAAATCGCTACCTGTACAACTGACCAGGAAAGATGCTGTGAGGGTCACCTGGGTGGGGGGACAGGTCACAGCTAACTAGAGCAGTGTGAACTCCACAACACGAGGGCGGTCGTGGTAGGTGGCCCAAGTGAGTGTGTCTGGAAGGAACAGGGAGAGTGGCCAGAGGAGGAGAGTGAAGGGGCACGTACACGCTCCAAGAACAAGAAAATGGCCAAGTTCCCCAGGGGAAATTCATTTTATAAAAGGAGAAATCATCTTTATAAATTCTACTTTAAAATAGCCTGCAGGTGGGGTGCCTGGGTGGCTCAGTTGGGTGAGCCTCTGACTCTTGATTTTGGGTTGGGTCACGATCTCACGGCTTGTGAGTTTGAGCCCTGTGTCAGGCTCTGTACTGACAGTATGGGGTCTGCAGGAGTCTCTCTCTCTCTCTCTCTTTCTCTCTTTGCCCCTCTCCTGTGTATGCGCTCTCTCTCAAAATAAAAATAATAAACTTAAAAAATAAATATAAAAATAATCTAGAGTCGACAACCAAAACCAAATAATTCAACTAAAAATGGGCAGAAGACATGAACAGACATGTCTCCAAAGAAGACGTTCAGATGGCCAACAGACACATGAAAAGATGCTCACCATCGATGACTCATCATCAGGGATGTGCAAATCGAAACCACAGTGCAATATGACCTTACATCTGTCAGAATGGCTAAAATTAACAACACAAGAAACAACAGGTGTTGGAGAGGATGCAGAGAAGGAAACCTCGTGCACTGTTGGTAGGAATGCAAACTGGTGCAGCCACTCCGGAAAACAGTGTGGAAGTTCTCCAGAAAGTTAAAAATAGAACTACCCTATGATCCTGTAATTGTGTTAGTGGGTATTTACCCCCCAAACACAAAAACACGAATTCAAAGGTATATGTGAACCCCTATATTTATAGCAGCATTATCTATAGTAGCCAAATTATGGAGAGAGCCCAAATGTCCACCAGCTGATGAATGGATAAAGAAGAGGTGGTATATATAAATACAATGGCATATTGCTCAGCTGTAAAAAAGAATGAAATTTCGCCATTTGCAACAATGTGGATGGGGCTAGAGAGTATTATGCTGAGTGAAATCAATCAATCAGAGAAAGCCAAATATCATATGAACTCACTCATTGTAATTTAAGAAACAAAACAAATGAGCAAAGAGGGGAAGAGAGAGAGAAAAAGAGAGAGAGAGAGAAATCAAGATACAGACTCAACTACAGAGAGCAAACTGATGGCCACTAGAGGGGAGGTGGGTGGGGGATCGATTAATAGATGATGGGGATTAAAGAGTATACTTATCATGATGAAATTAATTAATTAATTTAAAAAATCTACACCCTGAGTGGAGAAAAGGAGCAGTATCTGGAAAGGGAAATCAGGAAAAAGGGCTTGTGCTTGAGTTTGTGGCTAAGACGATGGCAGGCTTGTTGGCCGGTGGGAATGACGAGGGAGAGTCCCGGGAATGGCAGATGATGTTGGTACAGAGCCCTGAGGGGGCGTGGGATGCCTGGGGGGACGGGGTACGAGGCACCATGGGTCCCTGGGCAGGAGTTCCGAATGCGCAGCACCGTCTGCTGGGGGAGAAGGGCATGGGGGCTGCGGCTGCAGGTGGCCTGGTGGCCAGAGCTGGTGGACTCTCTTCTGACTGTTCGCCCATCACCGTGGACAGGAGTGAAGAATGCAGTAGGTGGCCTCTTGGTGAAATGAAAGCGTCAGACACGAATCATCCGGAAGGCAGACGCCCGGACCACAGCTGGTGTGGTCACGGAGGAAGGGAAGGGGAGGTAGCGCGCTCACGGGGATGACAGGTCAGGGCGCGTCGCCCTCATTACTGTGCTCTGAAGAGCATCGCTCTCCTCCTGCCCTTCCGACTGTACTTCGTGGTTCTTAACACCCCAAACCCTTAAACTCTAAGCCTTTAACCGTTGCTATTGAAGACTGATCTGCTAGGTCTCTGATTAAGACTCATTCTGCGGTGCCTGGGTGGTTCAGTTGGTTGAGCGCCTCCGACTTCAGCTCTGGTCATGATCTCACGGTTCGTGAGTTCGAGCCCCACACGGGGGTCTCTGTGGTCAGTGCAGAGCCTGCTTCAGGTCCTGTGTCATCCCCTCTCTCTGCCCCTCCCCTGCTTGTGTTCTCTCAAAGATAAATAAACACACACAGAAAAAGACTCCTTCCACTACTTCTATGCTTTCAAAACCCCCCTCAGACCAGAAATCAGCAATACATTAATTTAAAGTACCTTCTACTTTATTTGATTTTCTGCTTCCGTTTAATTCTTTGTCAGGAAAGGAGTTCTGTGTATGAGGTGAGGTCACACAAAATACCATTTGTTTTGTGCCCATTTCTTTCTCTGCTTCTGATGTGTCCAGCAGGTGTAAACTTCCCAGGGGACTAGGCCCCCCACTCCCGTATCTGTTTTGCACCACCGATCTGTTTTTCTCTTTCCCTCAATCCAGGACCATATTGTCGGTTTATAATAGGTTTTTTAACATCCTTAGGGTAACTATCTCTTCTCATTATTTTTATTTTTCAGTTTTCTCAGCTCTTCTGTTCATTCTTCCAGGTAAACTTTTCAACCATTCCGTGAAGTTCCAGCAAGCGACCCCACTGGGATTTTTCCTGAAGTTTCATTAAGCCTGGAGGTGAATCCAAGAGGAATTGATACATTCACGTTCTTCGTCCTCAGTCATGAACGTGGTGTGTTTGTACTTCCTCGGCCCGTGGGCGAGCGCTTCCATTGCTCCCGGACAGATGTCGTGTCCCCCATTCTCCCACAGTCACGCTAGCCTCCACGAGTCCATGCTGAGACCTGACCAGGGCCAGATTTGGGGGTACCCCAGGAGCATGCTCCCTGCACCCCAGGTTCTGGCTGCCGGCCTCCCATCATCACAGCCACGCTGCCATGGCCACTGCCTGGTGCTCTGGACCATTCCAGGTGTTTTGATTTGGTGAGTGCACTTCTCAGAGCGTCTGCAAGCTGCACCTTCTCTTTTCAGGTTGCTTTCCCGCTTGTGCTGGAAGCTCCCACTGGTGGGATCCAAGTCACGTAGATTTCCTCTGCTCCCATATTCTCCTGTGCCAGCTCCTGGGAGGTGCAGGCTTTCATTGGCCATAAGTGGACTAAGAACACCGGAGTCCACATCCAAATCGTTGACATTCTCCCCCTTCCATAGCAGAGGCCCATTCACAGTCTCCTACTGACAAAGGAAACGTCGTGGGTTTCCCCTTCCTGGGCGGGGGCCCTCGCCCTGCTCGTGCTCACCTCACAGACAGCAGAGCCTTCTTATCTATAAATAACATCTGTGAAGTCTACAGTTGGAGAGAAAATGAAACTGTTTTTTGCTTGTCCCGCAAATGAAATTTTTTTCAGACTAGCTTTCATACCCAGTGCAGAGCCCAACGTGGGACTTGAACTCACGACCCTGAGGTCAAGACTTGAGCTGAGATCAAGAGTCAGACGCTTAACCGACTGAACCACCCAGGTGCCCCAACAAATGAGATATAATCAAGATTGCAATGAGAGGAGAAAGGAAAGAACTTAACCTTTAAATCTTTCAGACTTTCTCTTGAACTTAAGAGAACTACTTAATAGCCAACTTACACCACAGAAATACATGGGTTTAAATGCTCTGTGGCTTTTAAAAGGGGTGCAGCTGCAGTCTGTGGGGTTGTATGGACCACATCCTCATATTAGATTCCTGGGGCATCTATAACAAGGCACCACTTACCAGGTGGCTGAAACAACAGACATTTACTGTCTCAGGGCTGGAGTTCAAGGTCCAAGATGTAGGCATGGGCTGGGCTGGCTCTTCCCGAGGCCTCTCTCCTGGGTGTGTGGAGGCTGTCCTCCCCGGGCCCTCACATGGTCATCCCTCTGCATGTGGCTGTGTCCTCAACCCCTCTTCTACAGGGACACCGGTCAGGTTGGGTCAGCACCACCCTAGTGACCTTATTCTGCCTTAATCACCTCTGTGAAGACCCCATCTCTACAGTCACAATCTGGGGTGCTGGGGGCCGGGACTTCAACATAGAAATTTGAGGCAGACAATTCAGCCCATGAAAGCACCTTATTACGTCTCAGATATTTGCCACCAACTCACTCTGTGATTTTGGAAATTACTGGACAGGTGTAGCTTCAGTATTGAAAATCTCACCCTGGCCGGAGGACAGACTGTTCTCTGAGCTCTAACATTCACAACCTCTTTGTTCTTTGTTCTAGATTATGCTACACCCATTCTTCTATGTGGAGCATTGAAAACCACTATGATCCATGAAGGCATTCCCTCACCATATCATGCTGGTCACCTGTTATCTCCTTCAAGGTCATGGACAGATTTTGGGGGGCAATTTTGTTGTCCGGTGAATCCAAAGACTCCTGGGACTGTTGCAAAATGGCGGACATTATATTGGCGACGGGTGACTGGTGTTTCAACCGCCAAGCAACGAACAGGCCTGGATGCGCATAGGTAGAACAAATCTACGCAAACTCGTACCTACAAAGTTGTCTCCTCTGGCAGGTCGGGGCAGCTCCCGGTGCGCGTGCGCATCCGTCCTCGGGCGCTGGAACGCCAGTGGGTTGCATGTGCCAAGTGGAAGTCCTTCGAGCTCCCAGTGAGGATGGGGTTCCTTCCAAAGCATGGCCAATGAGACACCCCATTGCTGAGCCTACTATTTATTTTTCTCTCTTTTTGTTTCAATTTTTCTTAATATTTACTAATTCATAAGGGAAACGTGTCTTTAAGAATAGTTCCAGAAACATCAGGCATAAAGGCTACAATGGTTACATCGGTCACAGGTGGCTGAGGCATTCTTTGTGAAGCAATAAATGTAGCAGCCACAAACTCGTCTTCTACAGAGTCTTCATGTAGTTTTTGAAATATCCAGGTTTTCCAGTTTCCTGGCGGCAGGGAAGCTCTCCCACCCTGAGCAAGGATCGGAAGACCTGCCTCACCCTTCCTGGAACTGAGGTGGTCAGCTAGGGTACTGCCAGCATCTCCTGATTTCTTCAACAGTTAATTGGTCTGGATGATGGATGGAGCTGGTTCTCAAGGGAAACAAGTGCTTCTTTAATTGTGTGATATCCTCCAGCCTCCCCACCTCCCTGGGCTGGAGTGTCCTCAGCTCTCCAGGACAGAAGGCTGTATTGGATTATCTCTACAGTCCCTTGTGTTGCCAATGGCCTGTGACTTTGTGGTAGCCCACAGGAGCCTTGGCCATGTCTGCCCTCACACAGTGGAGTTTCTCCCAGACAACTGGTCGACCGCATCTTGGATGGCCGTGATCATTCTGTGGAAGCTGTATCCCTTTTGTATCAGCTGTGGGAAGAAAGGGATCTCGCAGCATGTGTACCATGTGCAACCCAGCCCTGGATTTGTCTGATTTCTCCCCCTTCATTCTCTCTTTGACCCAATGTCCTTATATTCTTTTCCTCAAATTTGAAATGGATGAATTTATAATTTGAATAAATAATACATATATATGGTTCAAATATTTACAAATCATGGACGGTAGAGAGTGAAGTCCCTTCCCCAAGTCCTTTTCTCTTCCCCAGCCCCGCCCCCAACCTCCGGGGTCCACTGTTGGAAGTTTCTAGAGATTCTTTTTTCTGGGGAACTTTTAGGCACAGGCATGCCCATAAATACATATCACGTGCATATACATACAGACAGTTGTGTTTTACTTTACCCTTCCCCACAGAGAGTTCGGTACTATATACCATGTTCTGTAACCTGTCCGGATTTTTTCATGTCAGCACATAAAATACTTTCTTGGGACCATTTTTAAGGCTGCAGATATTGTATTATATGGATATATCCTCATTTATGTCACTAATACACACATATACACACCTTTTCCTGGCTGGCCAAGCAAACACCAAGCCGGGTGCTGCTGTGCAGAGATTTCGCGGTTGCTATTAAAGTCCCTGGTCAGCAGACTGTAAGTTAATCGAGAGGGAGATTATCCCGGGTGGGTCTGACTACTTCCATTGGAAGGTCTTTAAAAAAGGCTTAGGGCTTCCTTGAGCTCAGCGATGACAAATAGCAGCTGTGTCTGCAACCATTCTCTCACCTGCCCCGGGCAAGGGTGGGGGGTCCTCCCTGATTGTCAGAAGCAGAAAGTGCTCCCATTGGCCATGACTGCCAATGTGTGTGGTCCCCTCCCTCCCTTCTTGCTTGCCTGCCCTTGTTTAGCTAGCCCCAACAGTCACACACGGCAATTCCTTAAATGTATGGGTATGTGTGTAGTGTGTAACATGGGCATACATTAGAATATAAATAATATGATGTAAATAGAAACAATTATATTATTAATAATTTTTGTATATGAAATATGATATATTTTATAAATACATTTCTATTGTGTATGTGTCAAAATTACTGCTTCTCTGGCTAAACCGTGACTGATCCTACATTTGGTATCACGAGTGGGGAGCTGTTGTGACAAAAGTATGGGAGCAGCTCTGGGACTGAGCCGTGGGTGGAGGTGGGGAGAATTTGGAGACACAATGAAAAAATGACTTTGGACAGACTGTTCATGGTGACATGGGAGCTGGTGAGAGTCAGATACACGTCCCAGGAAACTGGCGGAAGGGGTCCTCACCATGTAGTGGCAGAGACTTTGGTGAAGCTGGTTGTGTTGCTAAGAGTATTTCCAAGCACTGGCTTCCTCTTGTTGCTCACAGTGACACAAGTGAGGAAAGAGACAAATGGAGGGAAGCAACCCCAGCCTCTCCAGATGATGCAAAAAAATGCTAAAATGAAGAGATTCTCCAGCTGAACACGGAGAAGCAAGCCACTGGGAGTGCCACGGCTTCTAGGGGATGCGTTCTGCCAACACCACGAGAGCTTGGGAGGGGACCTGAGCTGCAGGTAAGACCCCAGCCCCGGCCTTGTGAGACCCCAAGCCAAGCGGTGCCCAGACAGCTGATGCAGGAAAAGTATGAGATAAAAAACATGCATTGCTTTAGCTGTTGAGTTCATGGTCATCTGCTACAGACCAGTAGAGAACTAGTAATGAACCTTCAGGCTTTACAGTCGACAGTCTGAGCAGAAGGCTAGATAAAGCCAAGCTCAGGCTCTCTGATTATCATCTGTTAGGTCCATAAGAAGGAAGTGGTTTTTACAGTCGTTTTGGGATTATGATCTCAGAAGCCGCATAGAGTAATTCATGGTTTCTGAACATTATCTGCAGAAAACCGTGGACCAACCAAGATATTTACTGCGTTACCTGCAGGGATAATGGTGCCAGCATGGAGAAGGCGATTTTCCCGATGATGGAACGGTCTCGAAGCACACGAACACGGCAACCACTGTTTCTCAGGGACGTTCTTGGACGATAATCAGAGAGGTGTGTGGGCTGCCGCTAGAGGAGCACTCACCTGTGCTTAACCCACGTGTCAGACTCGTTGGCTTGCTCCGTGTAGTTCTCCGGCAGGAAGCCGCGGCAGCCGGTCCGCTGGGAGGTCCCAATCACCCAGCCCTCACTGGCTTCTTCCTGCTGGGTGGGGTCCACGAAGATGTAGTCGCCGGGACTTAGTGTCAGCTCGTCCTCGTTCTGGGGTTTGTACTGGAATAGGGCCCTCAGGGTCTGGAAAAGAGCGAGTATTTTCATGTCTCAAGCACGGACTTGGGCTGGGGAAGAGGCCAGCAGGAGGTGGATGGCGGCTGCCCTCTGCTTCCAGGCTCCCCAGATGTGCTCTGTGACTCCAGGGCCCGTCCAGGCTTGGTGTCTGGTGACACATGGTAGTAGACGACAGAATACAGCACAGAATTCTTTGGATAGGTTTGGAAATAAATCTGATATCTACCTGTCTGTCTGTCTATCTATCTATCTATCTATCTAATCTACCTATCATGTCTATCAATTATCTCTCTCTCTCTTTCTATCCATCCATCCATCCATCCATCCATCCATCCATCCATCCATCCATTTATCTATGTTTCTAATGTATCTATCTACCTATCCATCTCTATCTATCTGTCTATCTATCTATCTATCTATCATCTAGTCTATCTGTCTGTCTCTCTCTCTCTGTATCTATCTATCTATCTATCTATCTATCTATCTATCTATCTAATCTACCTATTATATCTATCAATTATCTCTCTCTCTCTCTATCCATCCATCCATCCATCCATCCATCCATCAATGTTACTAATGTATCTATCTACCTATTCATCTCTATCTATCTATCTATCTATCTACCTATCTATCATCTCTTATCACTATTTACTTCTAATATGAAAGATTTTAGAGCATGATTAGACTGTCACACCCACCTTCCTTGGCATGAAGGAATTTATAGCCTCTCATACAACATGGAGCAGGGTGGGTTCACCCATGCTACTTCCATGGGTCTGAAAGGAGCACTGCATGCTTTCCATTTAAAGCATGCATCTGGGGGGAGGAAGTCTTGCAATGAGGCTTCACTGAGATCATCATTTAAACAGGCTAATAAGCAACAAAATGTATTCATGAATTTTTGCAATAGTCCACTTTTTATTGCCAGAAATGCTACCATTGTTTTTTTCCCAATTTTTTTGTGTGTCTACAACTCATATATAAAAGAATACTAGTTCCACATTTGCACAAAAAGGGAAGTGATTTTTTTTTTAGAAACAGTAGGACTCCTTTTCCTGAAATACCTCCAGAGGAGGGATCTTGGGGGTAAGCACTCTGTGTGTCTATCGGGTGGGCCGCCATTTGTTCCCATGGGGAGTGTCCAGCCCAACTGCCCGGCCAGGGCCGTCCCGACTGAGGCTTGCGGCTTGGGGTCGCTCACCTGGTAGTGCACAAAGCGCATGTCTCTGGAGTACAGCGTGGCAGTCCACGGGCAGCTGTGGCCTGGGCGGATGGCTCTGGCCAGCTGCTCCAGCGTCCTCTGGTGGTGGGGGTAGAACTTGTGGGCCAGGGTCAGATGCAGCTGCTTGGTGCAAGGCTTCACGGTGCAGTCTGTGAAATCAGGTACACGTGAGGGTGACGGGTGCGTTTACCTGAACCGTCGGCGCTGCGTGAACGGGACGGCCACCCGCCCACGATGGCTACACACCCAGGGCTGGCGTACAAAGCCTGTGTGCGCACTGCCCCCTGCCTCTGCCCCCCTCCCTCCCTCCCCCCAGGCCTGCGGCTTTCTTGGTAAGGCGAGGACTCCCCCCAGACTATGCCATTTCACAGAGTTCAGCTTAAAAAATTTTTTTTACATTTATTCATTTTTGAGAGGTGGGGCGAGAGGCAGAGAGAGAAGGAGACACGGAATCCGAAGCAGAGCCCAAGCTCTGAGCTGTCAGCACAGAGCCCGACGTGGGGCTCGAACTCACGAACTGCAAGATCATGACCTGACCAAAGTCAGATGCTCAACCGATCGAGCCCCCCAGATGCCCCCACAGGGTTCAGCTTACAGACAAGCCAGCTGGGCACTGCAGATTCTATAAGGAGGAGGAACGAGGAGGGGGTCTTTGGGGTCTATCACTTTGCAAGCCAGTTGCCTGAACAGCTGATTAAAGTGGATGAATCACAGCCTATGCTTCATTTCCCGGGGTGCGCACATTACCCAGCTGCCTGGATTCGCGGCCTTGAACTCCGGGTCGATGGTTTTGGTTCAGCTGCAGAGTGTCGGGAAGAAAATGCCACAGGCAACCCACCTGCGTCAGCCATGACGGCATCTCTGACATTTTGCTCACTTTGGTGAAGCCGGGAGCCCCGAGGGGCCGGCCCCTGCATCTTTGGGAGGTCTCTACCCTGGCGGCCCCCACCCTCCTGGTCCTCACTCCGGGGCTATGCGGTCAGCCAGGATCTGATTGCATCTGGACCACCAAGTAGTTTGTGTTTCGGGGAGGCGGTGACCGATGGGAACAGATTTGGTGTCAGGTAGACCTGGCTTCGGAGCCATCCTCCCCGTGGTGGGGACAGGTTTTGTTTGGACAGCAGCGACTTGATGACAGTGATGGCCACCTGCTGGGCCTACGCTGAAACCAGTGTCTGGATTCACATCTCCGGGAGTCTTTTCGTAAATACTGGTTACCGGCCACCTCTTCCCAGGGCAACACATGGCAACACACAGGCCCTGTTCTCCCGGGAATGTGGCATGGATGTTCCAGTTGCTTCCTGGACTCGGACCTGGTGGCCCGTGATGTCTCCCATCCCCTACATGAGCCTTCAGCAGCAGACAAGAAACCGCCGAGGTGAGAAGCTTAAATCGAGAGCACGTGCGGGTGGTGGGGAAATTCTTTTGTTAGGTGTTCGGGCAGTGGGCGGAGGACCACCTTGCCACTTGAGTCAGCGTGGCCCAGGGAGGACCCACGCGGGTCGTCACAGAGTCATCAGTGCACCACACGTGGCTTCTGTGTGGCCCTTGTCTTGTCTGCACTCCCCAGCCCCTGCGTCTGAGGGCGTGTCGCTGGGGGCAGACACAGGTGCCCTGATGGGGATCCAGGACACGCTGAAGCTGACCAGCCCCTCCCAACCCTTCAGGGTCAGGCCAGGGCACAGGCGTGGAGAGCAGGGTGAGAACCATCGAGTTGAAGCCACGCGGGCGGAGCCCCGGGCTGGTCAGCATGAACCCAGGTGGGGTGGGCAAGACAGAGCTGGCCTGAGGTTCCCACTCTGACCCCCTGCTTAGGGGACCCTGTCGCTTTCCTGGGGCTCTTATCACAAAGAGCCACAAACTGGGGAGCTTAAAACCACAGAAAGGTGCCCTCTCACAGTCTGGAGGCCAGAAGTCTGAAATGCAGGCATCTTCAGGGCCATGCTCACTCTGAGGCTCTGGGAAGGCTCCTCCCTGATGCGCCCAGCTCCTGGGGCTCCTGGTGGCCTCTGGTTTGGGGCCGCATCCCTGCATCCCTGTCTCCTCCTCATATGGGCTCCTCCCTCGCGTCTCTGTGCTCTCTCCTCTCTTACAAGGCCACCACTCACTGAATTTAGAGCCCACCTCTGCAGTCTGGCTTCATTTTAACTAATCGTGTCTACGGAGACTCTATTTCCAAATAAAGTCCATTTAGAAGGTTCTGGGCGGACAGGAATTTTAGGGGACGCTATTCTCCCATGACAATGACCTTGGACAGGAAAGTTCCCTTTCACAGGCTTCAGTCTCTCCATTTTTAAAATGGGGCCAGTGAGACCCATTTGGGGAATGCAGTGCGTAAGGGAGGTGCCGTGGCTGCCTTGGGGCGAGGGGCTGACAGAGCAGTGCAGAACGAGACCATGTTGGCCTTTGGAGGCAAGGAGATTAAAGAGCCATCACTTGACTCTTGTTTCTAAAGGTCACCAGTCCACAAAGACATGGGGTAAGCTGATAATCTGCGGCAAATAGGACCCCAGAGGCCAGGCTCCAAGTGGATATCCGGGATTCAGTGACCTGGTGTGGTCAGATCAGAATGGGGCCTCTGGACACGTGTGGAGGGGCAGGGCAGCGTCTCTCCCCCGGGGTGCCAGGAGTCACGGTCCTGAGCACCTTCTGTGTGCCACGACCGAGGGGGAAACTCCAGAGAAACGGGCTGCGTTGTCTGAAGGGCCCGAGCCCTCACCAATTTGCAGAGAAAGAGTGACTTCTGGGGCTGCCTATGGCTTGATGAAGGCCCAGCGCCAACCAGAGACGCAGGAGAGGCTCTCATCTTCAGAGGTCAAGTCCAGAGTCCCTCCCGTGAACCCCAGCCCGACCCCATCTCCAGACCAGCACAGCTGGTGGGGAAAAAGGCTTGCAGATTCTCAGCATGAGTCTGGACTATCCTTCCCCAAGAGGCCAAGGAGAAAAGACTATGCTCTTCCCTAAAACATTAACAAAAACCAACCAGGACTTGGGTTTTAGACGCAGCACCGACCCCAGGAGGGGACCTGCCCCAGGCGGACATGGGGCTGGGGGTGCGTCCAATCTCCCCGTGCTGGAAGTCTCCTCCTGGGACAGTTTTCCAGGCAGCTGGAACGTGCCCAGTGTTCTGAAAAACCATATCGACGCAAGCAAAGGTATTCCCACTTGGAGAAAAGGCGACCTCTGCTTTCAAGTCTGCTTTCCTTTTGAAGGACATTCTGGCTCATTAGATTCAGCTCCAGCTAAGCCGTTCAGCCCCAGAGCAAGGCCATGTTGGAGGAGCTGGCTGAAAAGGGAGAGGCGGGATGGGAACGTCCGGGGCCAGGGCGAGGCGTCCCCCGAGCCCAGCCCAGCCAGCGAGGAGCAGCCCGCAGCCTGGCCCACTGCACCTGAGAAGCAAGCACGGCCCCAGACCCAGAGCGGTCACTACCTGGTAACCGCGCCCTTTGTGTGCAGAGCTTCCTACCTGCCAGGACAGCCACTTCCATAGCGAACGTGGTGGCGAATTCCCGGATGACGTCCGCGGGGCTGTCGTTGACGAAGAAGCCCAGGTAGCTGATGGAAGAATGGAGAGCCAGAGGGATGACCAAGGGGAAGGAAGCCCGGATCCTGTCCCCAGCTCTCTTCAGAGCCTCGTACAGACACTCCACCTTGTGGTCTTCGCACTAAAGGAGAAGAGACAAAGGATGTGCTTTCTCGCCTCTTGTCACAAGGGCAGCTACTCCTTAGTCACTTCAAACCGGGCGGCCAGGTGAGCCTATATGTGGTCACGGTACTGGAACGTAAGTCTCCCGCCCCTGCATCTGGGGCTGTGGACTTGTTCCACACCACTCTTGAGCTTCTTAGAGATTTCAGGTAAAATTCCTTTTGGGATGGAATGTCCTTTAAGTGCCCAGGTTGGAAATGCCTGTCACCCTGACTACCTCTTGTCCCTCCATGTCATGTTGACTCAACCCACAGCAGTGCGCAGCTGTTTGGCTTCTGGAGATTTCTGGTAGACTCCGAGGCAGCCATTGGCGTGCACTGCTCCGAGCCCAGGGCTCAGCCGGAGTGCCAGGCGGTGGGCGCTGGCCGGACCCTCACTGCTGCTCTCCACTCGCACCTTGCCCTCCTCGTTCCTGGGCTCAGTGCTGCCCAAGCACTTCCTGGGCTTGAAGACCTTCCTCCATGTGGAAGACTCACGTGGCCACGTGGGACTGCGGTGACCCGTGGGCCCCTGCCCCGCCCCCTCCCCCAGCAGGAAGTCAGCCCAGCCCTGTTCTTCCCGGCAGCTGGCTCCCCCGTGAATTTCCCACAGCACCTTTCATTCTCGGACGAATCAACTGCGTTGTAGTTTTAAGATGCTTTTTTACGTCCCCTCTGGCCAGCGGCTCGTAAGCTCGTCCCTGTGTGTAGTGTCTTTGCCACCTTCGCGGGGCCTGGGAAAGCTCATGGTGCATGGACGGTATAACCCTGAGTAAGCCCCTATCTGTCCACATCATGTCTCTCAGTCTCGGGTCAGTAGTCGGGGAGCACAGGGTCGTATGTGAACAGAGCCGCATGGACATCGCCCGTGGAGATGGGACGTCTTCCTTTCACAGCATCAGAGGCAGAGCCTCCATCCCTCTGCCGCTCATCTGCTGGGGCTGCCGCTCAGCCAGCCAGGCAGGGCTGGGGGTTAGTGGGGCGGCTGACCAAGGGAAGGGAGGTGTGTGTGCACGCATGTGTGTCACATGGTGTGTGTGTCTGTGTGTCTGTGTGGACATGTGCGTGGGAAGAGGACTTGAAAGCCCAGGTGGCCCCTTGACGGTGTGATGAAACACGCCCATTTTGAGGGTCATTTTCGTCACAGGCTCTGGCCGCTTCCTTGCCCTGACGAGCCCCTAAGGACAAGCTGGAAAACAGCCTGACCGTCACAAATGCTGTGGCTGGCAAAGTATGGTGACCAACCCACCATACCCCAGCGCGCCCGGGACTTTTCTGGCTTTAGCACTGACGCTTCTGTGTCTTGGGGCCCCTCCCCTCAGCCCCTGGCAAATTGGGGTGACCGTCAAAGGCCCCAGGGGAATCGACTGGAAACATTCCCAGCAGAGGCTCGCAGCACCCTCCCCATGCACGCGTGGAGCCTGGCAGGGAGCGCTCCTTGGGCCCTGGTGGCGCCCCTGAAATGAGTGGGCCCCTGAGAGCCTGCTGACAGCAGGGGCGGCCAGGGCGTGTCCTCTCCAGGCTTGTCTGGTGCGGAGCCACAGAGGAAGTGGCTGTCCGGCCCTCCCTCTCTCTCATGCCTGCCGCTTCTCTCCTGAGAGGTCCAGCTTCTTCTCGCCTTCCCAGGACCCTGAGAAGCCGCCTGCTGGACTATTTTCTAGATCAGGGCTGGTCCCCAAAGGAGCAGGGAACAGTCCCGCATTTGCGACAGGCTGGCCGTGACCGTTCTTCAGTTCATCCGTCCCACATTTCCAAAACACCCACTCTGAGGCTCTGTGCCGGTCTCGGGGCACAAAGGTGAGCAAGCCACCTACCTGGCGGTGATTTGGCCTCGAGAGGGCTGCAGGGCTGCACCAGACACATGGCCAAGCCAGGTGGATGGTGCCACGAGAGGTACAGACCAAAAGATGATGGGAGCACAAAGGCATCGGCCTCTGCCCAGGGGGCTGGGGAAGACTTAACAAAGGGAGGGGATAAGTGAGCGGGGTTTTGAGGAATGCATAGGAGTTGGCCAGATGAGGCTGAGGAGGAAAGTAAAGGGTATCCCACACGAAGCGGACGGCTGATACTACAGTTGTGGGAAGTAGATCAGTTATCTCCACTGCCGCGGGGTTTTCTCAGGGAAATGACTCCAGCGGCCGTGGCAGTGAGCGTTAAAGGTGCGCTGGGGCCGACTCACCGTGAAGAAGTCACAGAGCGTTATGTGAGGGAAGACCTCGTGGGCCCGGTTCTTCGTGCACTGACGCTTGCTCTCCCTCCAGAACTCCTGAAGCTGCTCCAGCAGGGGCCCCGTGGGACAAAGGAACAGGGCGTACTCCTGGGGGATGGGATCGTCCAGAGAAGGGTCATTGCGGTGACAACGTAGCCTGTAACAGAGAGCAGGCCGCTGTCGCCAGGAGCTAGAACGCAGGGACCCTCCCCCTGGAGGGCAGCGACTCAGAGGGACAGGCCGTGCTGAGCACATGCGGCACCCACGGCCCCTCTTGGGCGGGACTCAGTGGGCCCAGGGCTGGTGTGGCCACGGAGCGGCTCAGGGGCCACCCGAGTCTCGGACCCGCGTTAGTCTGATTCCCGCGGGACAAAGGCGGAGACATGAGAGAAGGTGACAGACGACCTCAGCCCCTGGTCTTCAAACCGTCTTTGGGGTCCAGCCATCTCCTTAGTGTTGAAAACAATTGGCAGAAAAAACTCACAATTTGCTTTTAGCAGACTTCAAAATGAGTGTGAAAGTTAAAAACTACAAAAAGAAATAGATGAAATTCAGGTGGCTGTTATATATTTTCTTTGTATTCAGAAAGTTACTTTAAGGACAAGGAAGGAGACATGAGATACAACCCCAAATTCAAGTTCATTCTCACTATCAACGAAAACAAGGATGGACACAACCCCAAAGCACTAGTTTTCTTATCTGTCAAACTAACAAAATGTCTGTGAAAGGATAAAACTCATGCTCAGTTGTGTCAAAGGGGCAGCAAATTAGTATAACCTTTGTATTTACATCAGCAAATTGCCAGGAAGCACCAAGAGGATTAAAATATCCACTTCATTTGAACTCACAATTCTACTTCCAGAAATTTCTCCAAAGGAGAAAGCAAATGGTACAGATAAAACAGCACGTGTGAAGTGTCTTATTGTATTGTTACAGGTCACGGGAAGGAAACACGAGATAAAGGATGGTAAGTGTATTTATCAAGTGTTCATCAAGAGTCACGGTTTTGAAGAAGTTCTAATGACTCAGAGATGTGCCTGAGATGTTAATTGTAAGTTTAGCGGGCAATGTGCCACGACTTAAAGAAACACTACTTATGCCTTTAAAAAAATTTTTAACATTTATTTATTTTTGAGGGACAGAGAGAGACAAAGCACGAGCAGGGGTGGGGGTGGGGAGTGGAGGAAAAGAAGACACAGAATCTGAAGCAGCTCCAGGCTCTGAGCTGTCAGCACAGAGCCCGATGTGGGGCTCGAACCCACGGACGGGGAGATCATGACCTGAGCCGAAGTCGCACGCCTAACCGTCCCAAGTCTCCTTAAGAGTAAATACAAACACCAACAGAGGGCGCTCTGACCCTTCATCCTGGCTCACTTCCTCCCTGGCACACGTGTACTCTATTGTTTTTTTCTTCTAGAAACCTAAGTAACAGATGCATAGATAACACCCGTGTGTGTTTTCTGTAAATCACAAGCGACTGCTTAAATTATTCTGCAGTTTACATCGTTCCCGTCAGCCATGTTTTTGTGTTTTATTCACATTGACACGCGTACATCTGGTTAAGTGTGTCAGAGTGACCCTTCTGAGGGCTGGGGGTGATATTTCACTTATCCACTCCACTGGAGGACACATCACTGGTTTCTTTTTGGAAAATGTTGTGATGCTGTAATCCAGATCTTGGTACATGTTTTTAGGCCCTTTGTCTCCACGACATGTACTTGGGCGTGGAACCGGGTGGTCGGCCGTGATTGCCACCGGAACAGTGGGAGATTGTGCGTGGGCACTTGAAGCTGCCTTCTGTTTTAATGACACCTGAACTTGCACTTCATAGATTAGCCAAGGCCAGCCCACTCCTGGTTGAGCCTCGGGGACCCCACTGCCTCCCTGTGGCTCAGTGGGACTTGCGGTCAGGCTCACCTTCTGTCCCACGAGGCGGGAGCCGTGGCCTGGAAACAGTGGGTTTCGTTCGAAATTCAAATTTGGCAACTGACTTTAGAGTTCGCCTCGCCAGAGGGTTCTGGGTGTTTCTCTTTGTCTGGTAGACAGGCTGCGTGTTTTGTCCTCGGCCTAGAGGCTCTGGGGAAGGAATTAGGTCCCCAGTGGGGACATGCTGGCCACTTGAGATCCACAGTGCACGTTTGCCATCCTGCTCGGGGGCGCGCACCGCAGCGGGTGAGACCTGGTTTGTCACTGAGGTTTCCCAGAGCGGAGCGTGGGGGGAATTCCCGCCTGGGGACAGAATGATGACATCACGGCACATTCGGGCCGGACTGGGTAGCTGGTTGGTGGCAGAGCCTCTTGGGACCCTGAGCTCCTCATCCCCCACCCCCCCGCCCCACCAGGCACCCTTAAGGTGAGATGCCTTAGGGGCCATTCAGGGCCACCAGTAAATTCTCTCCCCATCAGAGGGAGCCTGGGAGAGAATGGTGACTCGTATTTTATATCAGAAGAAATAGCTCTTCCCTATTTACTCAACCAATCACGTGGATTTCCTTCTTCTTTGACAGTCACATGTGGCTAAACTCGGATTTTTAAGTGAAGAAAGGCTTGTTCAAGGTTCAGTCTCTCTACTTTGTATTCCTTTTTAAAAACGTGTATTTATTTTTGAGAGAGACAGGGACACAGTACACACGTGAGCGAGCAAGTGGGGAAGGGGCAGAGAGAGAGGGGGACAGAGGATCCAAAGCAGGCTCTGCACTGAGAGCAGAGCCCCACGTGGGGCTGGAACTCACAAACCCCGAGATCATGACCTGAGTCAAAGTCGGACGCTTCATCTACTGAGCCACCCAGGCGCTCCTGTTTGCCATTTTGAATGCGGGCTCTTCATTCCCTTTCCTGGGTGCTGGGTGGGCCGTGGGGGCCACTCCCTGCCTGCCCAGGGTGTATGGGTCCCTCCCCGAGCCCGCGCCATCGAGCTCTGGAGGCCCCGGGCAGGGCAGCCACACGCCCTCCATGCCTGCAGAGGGAGCTGCACTCACCAGTCGGATGCCTCTTCCGCTGTCTTTCTCCCAGTGGCCGCCAGTGCCTTCAGCCTACGAGAGAGCAGACGGGGAGGGGCATTCAGACCCTGCCTTCCCTACTTCCGGGAGGCATGGGGGAGGCAGGCCTATCGCCCTGTGGGGCCTGGGACCTGGGCGGGCACGAGGGTCCGACTGCTTAGACTTTGAAGCAGGAGGCACTACCCAGGCCTCGGCCCTCCGTGCGGCCTCGCTGTGGTTTCTGCAAATGCAGATCTGCTCACATGCTTCCCCCGCCCCTGCCCATTTTCCTTGAGGGGCTCCTGCCTCCAGCCCTGGGCATGGGGCCCACCCACACCCGCCATCTTGCCTCCCCGGCCCACCCTGTGGGTAAACCCACTCTTGGATCCTCAAGTTGGCCGTGAAGGGCCGGATGGGCCTCCCTGCCGAAGAGAGCAGACCTTTGGAGAAATGGCTCCCGTTCTTCCGAGCTTGGCTCAGGGGTCCCTCCTCCAGGACAGTGGGGGGATGTGCAGCCCATCCTGTGTGCCATGCTTCCCCGTCCCCCCACGTATGGCCATCCTGCTTCGTCTATGAGCTCGTGTCTGTTTGCCTCCCCCACCGGCCTGGAGGGTCCCTGAGGCCCAGCCGTGTCCCACTAATCCTTATAACCCGGGACCTACACACATAGAGACCAACCTGAGCCAGACGGAGTGTGGTTGAGGTAACTCACGCACGAGTCCCGCTGGAAATAGTGGGGGTTGGTGAGCAGACCAGCATGGCGCTGCCCAGAGCCACTATTTGGTGACTCCGGATGGGGATGACATTAGTTTAAATCACAGGAGACTCTGAGCCTGAGTCCATGTCCAGCTTCCATCGGCCGTAAAGGGTGGGCTTTAGACGTGCCAGGAATAGGGCCCCGCCCCACCTCTGCCTGGGTTCTCTGGCCTCAGTATCCCTGGCTGTACCCGAGGGAGAGTGCCCGACGCGGGGTCTAGCACATGGTCCCACTGCCCATTTCGAAGGCCCTCGGTTTATTATCAACATAAAGGCGACTGAGTTCTGATCTGGGTTGGAAAAGAAAAGGGTGAAGCTTCAGAGTGATAATAGCTCGTTTGCTCAGGGCTTTGTTATAATGTTTAAGGAAGCCTCGGTCCCCAGTCCGAGGGAATAAGTCTGAAAAATCAGCACCCAGTGTCCCGACCTTGGCTCATTGCCTCTGGGGACTTTGTCTTTCTCTCTGACAGGCTGGATCCTAAGATTAACGTTTTCTGCACGGGGCACCTTTTCCTCGGGTAAGCAGGATCGATCAGCACTGTTCCGGTTTCTTAACCATCTCCTTTCACTCTCAGACACTGAAGAGATCACCCCTCCGGTGAGTGGTTCCCCCACACCGCTTAGGAATATATTCATCTTGGCGGTGCTCTCTGCCATCCCTTCAGCCTGGCGTCTGAAGTGCCTCACTGTGTCATCTCGGTCCCTGAACCACAAAGAGCCTGCCCAAACTCCTCCAAACCCCCCAAATTTGGGGGGGGCAGGAACACATGGCTTCTGACTTTCACAAATTTTAGGGTCCCTCCACCAGCCAGCCAGCACAGTTTGAGTCTAAAAGAGCAAAGATCATGTCATTTAAAAAAGCAGAGAAGGGCTGTATTGTGAGAGCATGTCTCCCTTGGCAAGTGTACCCCTTCGGCAGGAAGTCACTGCTCTGAGCTGCCTGCAGTTCTGTGGCAGAGGCAGAAGCGTCTCTGAGCCGGGAGCCCATGCCCAGCGGCCGGCGGGACAGTACTCACGCGGTGTGTACCGGGAAGCCCATTCCCAGCAGGGGCTCCAGGAGCGAGGGCGTGCCGCGGACCTTGAGCTTGTTGGAGACCTTTGCATAGAGCTGCGTCTCCCCGGCTGCCATCTCTTCCTGCCTGTGGACAGAAATGAATAGATAAAGCCAGAGAGAGGCACACACAGGCAAGGCTGAGGGTGTGAAGAAAAACCTCAAGCCCTTTTTGATCTCTCTGACAAAAGCTAATATCCTGTTTGCATGAGATGTCGGTTTTCAGAGTTCTCTCTGCAGGGTGCTGGGCGCAGCGTCCACCGGCTCTGTTTCCACACGGGGTTTGCGGTCCGGAGGTCCAGCCCAGCCCCTGCTCAAGATTAGCCACTGACTCGGTTCTCCACTGGTGCCACCGGCCACAGACCCAGGGCGACCCCAAGCCTCCTTGCCTGCAAACGAGACGTTAAACTACACTCCATCTACTGTCCCTGTGAGCTCTGACATGTTTGGTTCTTGTAATTATTCATCGACTCTGTTTTTGATTTTAGAATCTTTTGAAGTTTAATGGGCGTGCCGAAAAGTTGACAAATCCTACGTACGAGTCAGTGAAACTCCATCCAGGGAGCTCACACACCTAACTCCCTCAGGACCAAACAATAAAACAAGGGTCCTCAACCTGGGGGATTTGGGCCCCGTCCCCAGGGACCATTGGCAACATCTGCAGATGCTTCTGAGGGTCCCCGTTGGAGGAGAGGATGTTTGCTACGGCATCTTTCACGTCGAGGACAGGAATGTAGCGGGTGCACCCCAGAGCAAAGAGGGACCCGGCCCAAAATATCAAGAGTGCCAAGGTTGAGAACATGTGCTCTGGACCACAACCAGAGCACCCCTGCCCCCAGCACCCCTCCCCTCAACTCCTAGTTATTTTTTCCCTCCCCCAAGAAGGTAAGTTCCATGCTCACGTGTACATTGATTTTGGCTATTTTTGAATTTTACATAACTAGAACCATAGAGCATATAGCCTTTTGTGTGTAATTTCTTTTGCCCCAAACTATGTGTGTGAAATGTACCCACGTGATTGCTGGTAGCGTGCTTCATTTGCTGCATTGCTGTGCATTTTTCTATCTGAAAAGTGAAACATAATTTACTTCTCCATGTCTCTGTTGGTACATTGTTTGGGTGGTTTTCAGGTGTCTTGCTATGGTGGACATTCTTGTGTATATGCCTTTTTGCACCTGATTTATGTTATTGACGTCAGGTACACATCTAGGATTGGGGTTTTTAGGTCATAGGATACATATGTACTTCATTAGTAACTACCAAGAAGTTTTACAAAAAGGTGGTTCCCATTTGCTCTCTTAGCAGTGGGTTAGGGTACGGTTCACCGACATTCTTCTACTGTCCATCTTTTTAGCCTTAGCCAATCCGAGGCTGTGGAGTGGTGTCTCGTTGTGGTTCTAATTTGCATTTCCCCAAATGGCAATGACATTGAGCATCATGAGACAGGCTCTTGGCCATTTGAATAACCTCTTTGGGGAAGGGCCCACTTAAATCTTCTGCCTTTTAAAAATTGGATTGTTCAGTTTTTCTTATCAATTTGTGGGAGATAATAAGTCTCTGGAGATAATAAGTCTTTCATTGGGTGTGCTTAACGGTAATGACTTCTTCTAGGCTGTGGTTTGCCTTTTTAATCTCTTAATGTCTTTGGGTGAAATGAAATCTCCTCATTTGAATGAAAAGTAATTTATCATTTTTCAATAGTTAGAACTTTCTGCATCCTGTTCAAGACATCATTGTTAACCCAACATTGATGAAGATATTCCCCTGTGTTTTCTTCTTGAAGTTTACTATTTTCACTGTTTACATTTAGCTGTTTGATCCATTTGAATACATTCCATGTATGGTGTGAGGTAGGGGTAAGTGTTCATTTATTTCCCTACACCTGTTTTCATTGAAGGAGCATCCATTGTCCAATGCATCACAGTGGATATTTCTTCTAAATCAGGTGACTGAATATATGTTAGCCTGTTTTTACTCTCTTCCTTTCTCTTGTTTGATTTGTTCATTTTTGTGCTCATACTACAGTGGCTTTCATTACTATGGTGTTAATTCCTCTGATTTTGTCTTCTTCAAGATAGTCTTCATTCCTCTAGGCCCATTGATTTTTTATATAAATTTAAAAATTAGATTGCCACAGTGTGCCATTGGAGACTGCAGAAATATATGTGGTCATTTACTTTTCAACAAAAGGCCAATGAAATTCAGTAAAGGAAAAGATAGTATTCTCAACAAATGAGGCTGGAAAACTGCATATTGATATGGGAAAATATGATGCTTACTTCACATCATGCACACAGCTTAGCTCAAAATGTATGATGGGACTAAATGTAAAAGCTAAAACTACAAAAATTCTAAAAGAGCACCTGGGAGAAAACTCTTTGCTATGTTGGGGTTTGCAAAGCTTCATTAAAGAGTTGTAAAAGAAGAAAATTGGTAAGTTGCGTTTCGTCAAAATTGAAGACTTCTGGGGCACCTGAGTGGCTCAGTTGTTTGAGCGACTGACTCTTGGTTTGGCCCAGGTCATGATCTCATGATTTTGTGGGTTTGAGCCCTGCATCGGGCTCTGTGCTGACAGAGTAGAGACAGCTTGGAATTCACTCTCCCTCTCTCTCTACCCCTCCCTCACTTGTGCTCTCTCTGTCTCTCAAAATAAAAAAATGAACTTTAAAAAAAATAGAAAACTTCTGCTCTTTGAAAGATACTATAAGGAAAATTGAAATGTAAGTCTGGGGGTAAATACCACCATATGTATCTGACAAAGGACTTGTATCCAGAATTTATAGAACATAACATAATTGTGTATATGTACATTCTTTTAATCAATAATAAGAAAACAAAAAATCCAACTTAAAATGGGCAAAAAGTTCTAAATGGGACACTTAACAAAAGGAGCTACATGAATGGCTTATGAGGGACATGAAAAGATATTTAACTTCATTATTCATCAGGGAACTATAAATTAAAGCCTCAGTGTGATACCACAATACATTTACCGGAAGAGCAAAAATGGACAAGATTGACAATACTAAATTTTGACAGTGCTGGGGGATAATTGGAACTTTTATTTATTGTTTGACCATTTTGGAAAATATTCTGACAGTTTCTTCTACAGCTCAACATCCATTTGCTATATGACAGACTTACTCTGAGCTGCCTACCAAGGAGAAATGAGAATGCGTGACCATACAAAGACTTGTGTGTGAATGTCCTTGACGGCTGGATTCACGGTGGACCCAAACTAGAAAGAACCCAAATGTCTATCAACTGGTGAATGCATACCTAAATTATGGTTTACTCAATCAATTAATTATGGTATATTCAAAGTATGGTATACTTCAAAATTATGACATATTCAAAAATGTCAATATTCATAAACTTTATTTCTCCTGCTTGCTATATCGTTCTGGCAAAGACTTCCAGTGCCATGGTGAATAAAAGGGGCTCTTGGGACAGGTACCCTTCATCAGATTAAATGAATTTTTTCCACTCCTAGTTCACTGAGGTATTTTTAAAAATTCATTAACAGATACTGAATTTTATCAAAGGCTTTTTCTGCATCTATTAAGATGATCATACTGTTTTCCTTCTTTGTTCAGTGAATGAGGTAGCTTGCGACAGTTCACTTTTGAGTGTTAAATCACCTTGGGTTTCTAAGATGCAACCTTGATCGTATTATGCTATCTTTTGTATATATTTCTGGATTCCATTAGTTAATGCCTTGTTTAGAATTTTTTTGCATCAGTGTCTGTAAATTAGCTTGGCCCGTTGTTTTCCTTTCTTACAATTTCCTTCTCCAGTGTTGGTGTCAGTAGAATGATCAGCTCATTCTCATGTTCTTGGGACTTTCTGGTCATAACACTGAATGTTGCCACTCAAGGAACCCCCTCAATCCCAGGCAGACAAAGGCACAAGGTCACCTGAAGTGTCAGTGTTATTCTGGCCTCATAAATGAGTTGGGAAATGGGGCTGAGCCTGGGGAGGGGCTCAGTCGGTTGAGTGTCTGGCTTTGGCTCAGGTCATGATCTCTTGGACCATGAGTGGGTTTGAGCCCCGCATCGGGCTCTGTGCTGACAGCTCAGGGCCTGGAGCTGCTTCAGATTCTGTGTCTTCCTCTCTCACTGCCCCTCTCCCGCTCATGCTCTGTCTCTCAGAAATAAATAAAGGTTAAAAAAATAAATGAGTTGGGGATGAGCACTGGGTGTTATATGGAAACCAATTTGACAATAAACTATTGTAAAAAATAAAATAAAATAAAATAAATGAGTTGGGAACTATTTCCTCTTTTCCATTCTCTGAATTTTTTTTTAAAGATTGGTATAATTTGTTCCTTAAATGTTTGAAAAGATTTATCAGCAAAGTCATCTGGGTGTAGAATTTCCTTGGAAAATTTTAAATTATGGATTTAATTTATTTAACAGATACAGGAGTATTCTTCTTGTATTTGTTTCATTAAGCTGTTTTTCAAGGAATTTGACCATTTTATCTAAGTTGTCTAATTTCCTGGCGTAGTTGGCCAGAGTTTTAAAAATTTCAATTTTGTTGCATGGTTTTCTGTGTAGAGGTCTTGCAGTATTTGTTAGATTATTCGTAGGTATTTGATTATTTTTGATGCCACTATAAATTATCTTTTTATTTATTTTTAAATGTTTTTTTATGTATTTTTGAGAGAGACAGAGCATGAACAGGGAGGGTCAGAGAGAGAGGGAGACACAGAATCTGAAGCAGGCTCCAGGCTCTGAGCTGTCAGCACAGAGTCTGACATGGGCTCGAACCCATGAATCATGAGATCATGACCTGAGCCAAAATCAGACACTCAATCAACTGAGCCACCCAGGCGCCCCTAAATTATCTTTTTAAAATTTCGTGTTCATACTCTTTCTTGCTGGGAAATCAAAACATTATTGCTTTTTACATTATTTTGCATTGAACTTATATGTGATTTTATGTCTTGCTTGATTTCCTTATTAATTCTAATAATCTCTAGAATTTTAAAAACATTGTATGTACAAAAATAATTGTGAACAACAATATTTTTCTTTCTTTCTTCTTACTTTCTTACATATTCTTTTCTTTTAAATGTTCTTTTTTATTTCTCTTTTTTCTTTTCTTCTTTTTTCCTCCTCCGCCATTTCTTTCTTCCATTCCTCTTCCTCCTTCTCCTTCTTCTTTCTATTCCTCTTCTTTTTCTTCTTTTCTTGGACTGGAGTGAACTCCAAATGTTAAATAGATACGGAATACATCAATATAGTGCACCTCCCTGTATTGGTCTCCATTTCAGAGAAAAAAGTTTCAGTATTTCACATGAAAGTTTTAATTATATTGTTAAATATCTTTTTGCTTTGAGGAATCCAAAGATAAAATAATTTCATAATTAAAATGAGTTAAATATCTTAAATTTAAAAGCCTCAAAGTAGACAAAGCTTGTTATCCAGAAGAAAGAAAAAGCAGATTTGGGGTCTGAAATATAGCCTCTACTCAAATATAGTGTTCTTTTCTTTTTTTAAATTAAAAAAAATTTTTTAAATTTTATTTCTGAGAGAGACAGCGTGAGAAGGGGAGGGCCAGAAAGAGAAGGAGATACAGAATCTGAAACAGGCTCCAGGCTCTGAGCTGTCAGCACAGAGCCCGATGCAGGGCTTGAACCCATGAACCACGAGATCACGACCTGAGCCGAAGTCAGATGCTTAACCGATTGAACCACCCAGACGTCCCTATTTTTCTTTTCTTAATAGTAAACCACTTTTTGAGCAATTGTGCTTATATCATATTAAAATATAAATTTCTCTTAAAAAATCTTATTTGGGTAAGTCAGGAGAGGCCCTCTCAAGCCTAATCTCTTTTTCTTACCTTGAAAAGTTATCTTCCAAGACCAACAGCAAAGGACTTGGTCCTTGATGGACAGTTTTCCTGTGCCTTGCCCTCAAAGGCATCCTTCTCTCCCAAGGTGGAGGCTGAGACCATGCTCAGACCTCAAGCTGTGTGCAAATGGTTACAAAAGCTTCATAGCCTGTAGGGGACCCCTCAGGGTAGGGGGCTCCTTCTCAGACCTCCCAACCAAGACCAGCAAAACACGGCTTGGTGAATATCCAATGCCAGCCCTAGGGGTGATAATTTCTATGTCCTCTGATTTTATTTTGAGTTTGATGGAATTGATTTGCAGGTAAACTTTCTGAGAGGTGGGGGAAATTCAGCCACCATCATGGGTCATCTCCCTGCGGAACCTCGGCAAACTGACTTCACTTAACACACATGCCAAGATGTCCACATGTTAATATATTCATGTGACATATGTGAGCTCATGATTGCTTTTGGTTTTTCTTCGTGTCTACTGCTGACCTAGTTCCACCACCTAGTTTATGATCAGCTCATCCGTGTACCTGGAACCCCATCACATGCTCATCATTGTGCCGGGCGCCGTGAGAGTACATTCTAGACTCTGTCCTCTAGAGTTTTGTTACACAAGAACACTATCTACAGCAACTCAGGCAAAAACAAAGAAAGAATGAAGTTCTAAGTGTCCTGTCCCTGTCTTTGAGGGCAAATGTTTGTTCAAGGACTAGAGGCAGTAGTTAGAAAAGACGTAAATGGAGGGAAGAGTGAGCTTGAAGGATTCCCAGTCTTAAATCCCAAAACACTGAGAGGTGTGGGCAGAAAAACAAGACTGAATTTAACCACGATTAGCTGAATGTACCTCTTTGGCTTCGTTGCCAGTGGCAAATCCTGCCAACAATACCTTTAAAATCCATCCCAAATCCAGCCTTTGTACCACCAGCATCCTGGTCCAAGTCATGGCCATGGTGACCCAGGTTTTCAGTGGCTTCGTCCCAGCTTTCTGTGAATCCACCTCTGACTGTGTACTTCTTGCACATGTGTAGACCCGACTTTGCCCTGCTTAGCTCTTTGGTGGTTTTCCATCTCACAGAAACCAAACCCGGCTCCTCCCAATGGCCCAGGCCTCCAGTGATCTGCCAATCTCTAGCACACAGGTTTTCTTGGGGTTCTTCACACATCCCCAGTTCATCTCTCCAGGCCTTTGGAGCTGACGGTCCCATGCTTGGAATAATCTCAGCTCATAAGACCAACTTTATCCCATCACTGAGGTCTTGACTAAAATACCACTTCTTCCTGGGAGTCTTCCTCCACCACGCTGCCTCAGCCTCTCCCAGCCTCATCTCATTCTAGCATTTGTCATCACCTGGGACCACAGGTGAGTGCTTTGTCCCCTCTGCCATCTGCTCTGAGTCTAGATGCCTGGCTCATGGCAGATGGCCCGTAAATATTAGGTGAAAAAGTGAATGCTCGATTCACACCCAGCTCTACTCCACTAGACTTCCAAAGGGTCTCGGTCCCCAGCCCACAGCGGCAGGGCTATGTTCTCTCTTGATAAAGCATCTTAAAGCTGTATTGTGTGCAGAAACCCCTTGGGATTCAGAGCCCCCCTGCCCCCAGAAGAGAGTGTGAAGTGTCTCTATAGAGTGCTGTGTGAGAACACGCTCAGTCTCCCTCTCTTTTGTCTGCAGAGTAGCTGTGAGTCTAAACTCAGACCCAATCACATAGAGGAATAGAAACCCCCACCAAGGGGTTTTGCTCAGCACTGGGCAGGACCTATCTGTTATTTTATAAAAGGAGTGTCTGTGTTCCGAAGGCTCTCTTCTGTGAAGTTTCTGAAAAGGTTTCCTTACCTTACTTACCAATTAAAGGCAAGTCACATTTTTCCCCTCCCCGATCTCTGCAGTCATACCACCAACAGCCATTTGATAGCCACAGCCAGATTGGGTTACACAGATGCCCGCGATAATGCCATTCGCTGTGATGATTGAGTCGACCAGGCTGGGTGACTTGGTGGAAGGAAGTATTTCCCGATTGGACTAACCTGTTGGCAGCCTGCTCACCATCACGCTTGCTTTTATAATGAAAAAGGCAAATATTTCTGCTCTTAATGATGGCGGCTCCAGAAATGGTGAGTAACCTGGGTGGGTGGGGGGTAGGGAAAGAAGTATCTTCTCTCAACATTTCTCAGGGTTCTGAAACCGACCGATGATGACCAGTTTGGGAAGGGACTTCTGTGCCCAGGTTCAAGGTTTCAGAAAGCATTTTGCCATTTCTTCTGATTGTGGTCATGAAATTAAGCTGTGTACTTTGCCACGTGCTGATGGTACACGGCAAGAAACGGCAAGAATCAAAGGCACAAACGCTGGATGTGAATTTATTAGTTTTCTACGGTACCCTTCAAAGCCACTCTTGAAATGGAAACGAAACCAATGTTTTTGGTGCATAACTCCCGCTAAGATTTTCCCAATGCATGTGAAACAGCAGGAAGGCAAAGTTCGTGTTAAATGGCTTCATAGTTTCTTTTTGAACTCAGACATTGCCTCCAGTGAACAGAAGGAAAATAAAAATGGGTGATTTGTCTGCACTTATGTGCCCGTTGGAACCTCTTTTGAGGAAGCAGGTTCCCAGAGAAGTCATGCCTGACTGATACTTGGGAGGGTGAGCTGAGAGTTAGTTGGGAACATTCCGCCATTTTATTGCTCACTCCACCCCTCTTAGAGTTGCGGGAATGAATTCCAGAGGCTTCTGACCTCTCTGGCTTTGTGATAGGTGCAATTCTCCTGGAGGAAACAGAGCCCCAGTGTGGCTCTGTGTGCAAGCCAGCGGTCCCTGGCCACTCCTCCCTTTGCTGGGTGGGGAACTGGGCATCCAGAGGGCATGGATACTTTCATCCTTAACTAGGTCATGTTCGCGTGAGCCGGGAAAGGGCTGTGTTTACAGGAAACTACAAGTACGGTGGGTGAGTGTCCCTTCCCCAGTGCCATCTACATTTTTGGGGTGCGGACATTATGTGAGTATAAAAAACTTGGTTGTGTTTATGAGAGGTGTCCCACAGGCACTGGCAAAGGGTTGGGTTTACATGGGACAAAGAACAAAGACAAGAGAAGGAAAGTGCTTTGAAAGTGATTTGTCTCCTGAAAAATACTGGTGCAGTAATTTCTAACTCATAAAATGACATATCTCTAAAGATGGCTAGTCAGTTGATTTAAAGATTGGTCAAATACATGATGAGAAAGTCATTATTTTAGTGGAATTAAGTTCATAGTTTTTCACAAACTGGAAGTTTCTCTGTTACCTGCTGTGGCTTAGGGAAAAAATGTGTTCTCATTGGACAAATAGTTTTGATTAATCAGGTACTGAATGTACATTATGTGGACGGTTAGATTTCAAAGATTTAACTTGTCAAAGATGCATTTGATGCTAAAACTATAAACAGGGAAGCAAACGCTTTTTGCTCTTCCTGGCGAAGGAGGTGGAGGCGGACGTGGAGCCGAATCTCAGAGGTCCTGAAATAGTCACCATGGGGGAAAATGACCCACCCGCGGCTGAGGCCCCCTTCTCCTTCAGATCGCTTTTTGGACTTGACGATTTGAAAATAAGCCCTGTTGCACCAGGTAGGTGGAACCAGGTGTGATTTCTGGGGAAGTGTCCCCAGAGCCTCCCTGTGGGGACATACCCCACCAGGATTTCTCACACCCACAAGCTGGATGGTTGTGTTTCCCTGGGTTTACAGAACCCAGAGGGGGTTACAGAATGCCAGAGGGGGGCATTAGAGAGGGCGTCCCCTTGTTCAGCCCTTACCAGCTCCCGGAGAGAGAAGTTTCTATTCTCTGGATGGAGGTTTTCAGAAACTGAGGCTCCAGTTGCCCCTGGGAGTTGGGGGTCAAGTCCTGCCAGGAAATTCTTGAGCCTCCCCCCGTGCCCCCCCATAGAAAGTCCTGAGAACCAGGGCTCACCAGCTCTTCCGAGAAACTTAAAATAAGCTGGGCATTGTTGCAGGTATTCGATGCCCAGATAAGAACCCAACTGCAGGAGACAGGAGCCGCTCTGAGCAACAAGGAAGGAGAGCTGTTTTGAAAAGAGGTCACAAACGCAGGACTTGCCACTGAGCCGTGGCTCACTGGTCCTGGGTGCTGCCAGGGGTGCTGACCTCTGGGACTGGAAAGGGGGTCGCCGGGGGCTCTGGCTGAGGTTCCAGAAAGCATGGAGTGGTGGCTGCCCTAATGATTCGTTTTAAACCTTCTGGACAATTGTGGTTGGGAGGTGGTGGAGAAGATGGAAGGTAGGACAGGTTTAAAAATACAGCTCAAAAAAAAAAAAAAAAAATACAGCTCAAAAAGTTAGCAAAAATATAAGCTTAAAAAATACCATATCACCTGATTCCCCACAATATATCATGTCTGCCTTCGTTCTCTTCCTGTCCTTGCTGATGAGTACACATTCGTGCACAGTACGGCTATAGTCAGGTGTTTTTCCATGTGTGACTTGGTTTTTCTAAATGTCTTTTGTTTATAACATCCCAACATCCCATCAAGTAGATGTTTAATTTACATGTTTTTTAAAATCATCATTTGACATACAAGTGTTTCTAATATTTTTATAGAATGCATAGTATGAGCATGAATAACACTATACATGGTCACCTCTGCTTATTTTTGAGTGACATATGCAATTTTGAAGGCTCCCCCCGCCCCAAACGAAACAATATTTTGTTCTTCTTTCCATGGCACTAAATAACTAAATATTCTTTAGGTGTTGGCAAGCTATGGCCCATGGACCAAATCTGGCCTGCTACTTGTTTTTATAAATAAAGTTTTATTGGAACACATGCATTTATTCACCTTTTGTCTATGGCTGCCTTCGTGCCATAGTAGAGTTGAGTAGCTGCAACAGACACTATGTGGTACCTAAAGTTTAAAATATTTAGTATCTGGCCTTTTACAGTAGACGTTCGCCAATCCCCTTTCCCTATCGTGTAACTAACTCCCTACGTTCTGTCACCAATTCCTTCTGAGGCACATTCAGGCTGTTTCCCATGCATCAGTATTACACACGCTGCCTCTTTAAGTGTCCATGTTGGTAGAAATTTGTGTACATCAAGGATGACATCTCAAGATAAAATCTTGGAAGTGGTTTTACTATGTCAAAAATTCCATCCGTGTTTAAGCCCTTTGGTTCATATTTCCAACTTGAACTCTCAAAAGTTACACAATGTATATGCTTATTGATTGTAAGCAGAGGCCCATTCTTTTCACTTTGGACGGCAGTGGGGATATAATGATAATAATAATTAATAATAGTAACAACAGTAATAATAAATATTGCCCGGTTGATATGCAGTTACATTTAATTTGCACTTTCTCAGATTTCCAGAGAGATTGAAGGTTTTTGTTCATGCTTTTTGATGATTTGCATTTCTTCTCTGGAGAGGTGCTCTGCATTTTGGTTTTTATTCCCAGCATGCTCTCAAAGACAGAGCAAGGAGGGGAGCCGGGCCCCGGTACTGCCCACAGAGCACCACGGCGAGGGGACTGTAAAGGGGGAAACGTGAACAGATACAAGAGTTCTAAATGAACAGTAATCTTTGAATCTCCAATGCGGACAAATTTCCTAAATCTAACTCTTAGACACAGAATAACCGGAAGGGTAAGAGGTCATTCTTGGGGTTCCTCCTGGTTTTTATTTTATTATTTTTTTAAAATTATTTTTTAATGTTTTATTTATTTCTAGGAGAGAGAGAGAGACAGCGTGAGCAGGGGAGGGTCAGAGAGAGAGGGAGTCACAGACTCTGAAACAGCCTCCAGGCTCTGAGCTGGCAGTCAGCACANGGGACCACAGGTACCGGACATTTGCAATGTACACAGGGGACAGTCACATCCAACTTTTTTTTTAAATTTTCTTTTAATGTCTTATTTATTTCTAGGAGAGAGAGAGAGAGAGACAGCGTGAGCAGGAGAGGGTCAGAGAGAGAAGGAGTCACAGACTCCGAAACAGGCTCCAGGCTCCGAGCTGGCAGTCAGCACAGAGCCCGACGCGGGGCTCGAACCCACGAACCGCGAGATCATGACCCAAGCGAAAGTCAGACGCTTAACCGACTAAGCCACCCAGGCGCCCCCCTCCTGGTTTTTAAAGTGTAAATGGAGAGGGGGCGCTCAGTAAGGGCTTAGTAATTTGGTGCAGGCTTCTGGGGGTGAGAAGGGGTTGGGGGGAAGTCTGCTCTACTAACTGGAGACCACAGATGGGTTGCCCTGAAAGGAATTGATCTCCCCTGCGGAGATGAGACAGCCTCCATTATCACGATGTCATTCATCCATTCATCCATTCAGTTTACTGACACAGTTGACTGTTGAACAGCACAGGGGCGGGATTAGGTGGCTGGCTCCCTGGAAGGTCAAAAATCCACGTATAACTTTTGGTTCCCCCAAGACTTGACTACCGATAGCCTACCGTTGACCAGAAAAGCCTTACTGATCACATAAACACTCACTTAACAAGTATTTTGTATGTTACGTGTATTATACACTGTGTTCTTACAATAAAGTAAGCTCAAGAAGAGGAAGTGTGATTTAGGAAAATCATAAGGAAGAGAAAATACACTGAAGTCACTGTCCTATAAAAACTCCATGCACATGGGGTGCCCCGGGGGCTCAGTCGGTTAAGTGTCCAACTTTGGCTCAGGTCATGATCTCATGGTTCATGGGTTCGAGCCCCGCATCGGGCTCTGTGCTGACAGCTCAGAGCCTGGAGCTGCTTTGGAGTCTGTGTCTCCATCTCTCTCTGACCCTCCTCTGCTCTCTCTCTCTCTCTCTCTCAGAAATAAATAAAACATTAAAAAAAAAAACCCACTCCACACGCAGTTCAAGCCCACATTGTTCAAGGGTCTGCTGTATTGATCAAGGGCCACTGCGCCGGGTGTCTGTCCAGGCTCTGAGAGCACGGCTGCAGAGCAAAACCGCCTGCTCGTTGCGGCCAAAACAAAGACCTTGCCCTCTGCCCCCACCCCCTTGCTCTGTATCCTTCAAGCCACGAAGTGTGTATCTCTCTTCACTCCCCTCCATTTCTTTCTTCTTCCCATTCCTTCTCTTACTTTCCTCTCCCTCTCCTCCTTTCCCACCTCTTCCTCCCCATTTTTGTCTTTAAGTTCTTTTTTGAGGCAGCCTAGAATGACATTGACCATTTTATGAGCACGCTCTTTATTGCCAGAGAGTGATGCCGTGGGTGTCGAAAGACAGGCAGGGGGAGATCCTTGTGGCTTTTCCGTGGAAGATCCCTCGGCTCAACATCTCCCAGACTAGGGAGAGAGAGCAAGGGACTGTCGCGAGTAGCCGTGTGCCGTGAGGAAGGCTGTCTCCCCTTTCTGCACTCGCCCCTCCCCCAGTTTAAGTGGGGACCACTCGGGCATAGGTGTGTTTTCAGGATTGGTGAGATTGTTCACATGAAGTGGCCCGTTCTCTTTGGAGTAAAGGCGCCAGGCGCTGATGGAAATCCACCTGGTCACTCAGAGGCTTGAGCTTTTGGCATCATTAACGCTTGTAGAGAGCATCTTCTTTTCCATCCAATCTGCCTGGTTCTTTGGGCAAGAACTGGGGCCGTCTGGGGTCTGCAAGCTAACAAGTCAGGCTGCCCAGTTTGCTGGACGCTGGCGGGAAACAAGAGACTCCTGGATCCGACACAGAGGACTTTATTACTCCCCACACAACAGCGTGTGCATTCTGTTTGAGTCCGTTACTCTTGGCCACCAAGTCCCATGCGGGTGACATGGAACAGCCCAGGTATACGCCACATACCTAGGGGGTCTGCATCACATCACGAAGCCCAGAGGCTTTTATAAAGGACTTCAAGCAGACCTGCCCACGCTTTCCCCCGTGTGTTAAGCCTGCTCCCTGCTCTCCGTCTCCTAAGGCCACTTGCTCTGCCAGCATCCTCAGAGAGATGGTCATCATCTGGTGACCCTCTCAGAGGTCCCAGCTCCCCCTGCCTTCTAAGTCCCCTGTTTGGGTTTGAAACATCACCGTCTTCTCTGGGGAAACTGTTCTGGGGACTCAGGCTCCATTCCCCTCTGCACTCGTTTCCTACAGCTGTGGAGACAAGGCACACAAACCAGGTGGGTTAAAAGGACAGAGTCTAGGGGCACCTGGGTGGCTCAGTCAGTTAAGCGTCCGACTTCGGCTCAGGTCATGATCTCACAGTTTGTGGGTTCGAGCCCCGTGTCGGGCTCTGTGCTGACAGCTTGGAGCCTGGAGCCTGGTTCAGATTCTGTGTCTCCCTCTCTCTCTGACCCTCCCCCTGCTCATGCTCTCTCTCTCTCTCTCTAAAAAATAAATAAAAAAAAAAAAAAAAAAGGACAGAGGTCTGTGGTCTCACAGTTCTGGGGACCAGAAGTCTGCAGCAGGGGGTGGGGGGGCAGGGATGTGCTCTCTCTGAACCTCATGGGGAAAACTTCCTTGCTTCTTCCCGGCTTCTGTGTTTGCTGGTAATCTTTGGGGCTCCTTGGCTTGTAGGTTCATCGCCCCAATCTCTGCCTGGATTTTCCCATGGGGCCCTGCCTGTGCGTCTTCACACCCTTTCCTTCTGTGCATGTCTGCTTCTGTGTTCAAACGTCCCCCTTTCAAAGGACACCAGTCAGATTAGATTAGACCCACACAATTTTATTTTCATTTGTAAACACTTTTTTATTTATTTGGAGAGAGACAGAGACAGTGTGAGCTGGGGAGGCACAGAGAGAGAGAGAGAGAGAGAGAGAGAGAGAGAATCCCAAGCCGGCTCCGCACTGTCAGCACAGAGCCCGATTCGGGGCTCTAACCCAAAAAACCGTGAGATCGTGACCTGAGCTAAAACTGAGAGCTGGATGCTTAACCGATTGAGCCCCCAGTTGCCCCGACTTTGTTTTAATTTGATGACCTCCTGTAAAAACTCCATCTCCAAATAAGACGATATTCGGAGGTAATAGGGGTTCAGCTTCAACACAGCCGGGGCTGAGGGGTGCACAATTCAGCCCTAACGCCGTCCCCTAACCCACGATGGACACAACTGGGCTGAGGGTGGAGAGCGTGGGGCCGAGCCTCTGGACAAAGTGTCCCGGGGTAGGTGGCCACTTGCTTTGGGCCGGAACATTCTCTGCTCTCGGGGGAGGGGGAGTAGACAGCTAAATTTTAAGTTTTATTTTACTGAAATCCTCTGCTCTGTGGCTTCCTGCTCTGGCCCCAACTTTCGATTTTTCAGACGCGGATGCTGTTGCCGCACAGATACTGTCCCTCCTGCCACTGAAGTTCTTTCCAATCATCGTCATCGGGATCATTGCGCTGATATTAGCACTGGCCATTGGTCTGGGCAGTGAGTACGATTCATTATTTAGCAGGCTCTCAAATGCCTATTCAGGCATTTAAACTTTGATGAGTCCCCCCGAGGCCCCCGCCCCCAACTCACGCCACTCAGCCTTAATTACTGGAGGCAAACGTCTTTTGGGTTTGCTGACTTTGAGTTTTAGTTGCCTGCATGAGTGTGAAGCCAGCCTGGGGCCCAGCAGGGGCTGCTGGCCACGCTCGGGGCTTTGTCACCAAGGAGCCTGCCCAGTTAGAAGTGTCGAAAGGCGGCTGATGAAATGGAATCCCGCGGGCAGGAGGGGTGCGGGCCGAGAGGAGAAGACAAGGGGGCCATTCATGGCGGGCCGGGCGTACCTGCTATTTTTAAAATCAGGTTCATGTGGCTTTTGAGACAGTGAGCCACTTGGATGGGCTCTGATAGGGAACACTATCTCATTTGCTCTTTCAAATCGCCGGCCCGCCTGCTCGATGGTGTGGTCCGCGGCCCCCTTTCTTCTTGTCCGGTAGACTGGGGGCCACGGGGTCCTCCCTGGAGCTCCTTGCTCAGAGGGCTCAGCCCGTAGGCCGGCAGCCAGGCCCTTTCTCTCTTGACCTTGAGCCCCCACATTGTGGCTCCAGGCCACATAGTGAGACGAGGGTGGTGCAGCAGCCCCGCCCTCGAGAATTTGGAACAGAAACTGGGCTGAGGGAAACCGGCTGCAATTTCAGTGCAGGTTTCATTATTGATGGCCAAGCTCAAGGCCACGTGGCCGGTGGCCGGTGGCCGGTTGTCCGTGTTGTGGACTGAAGAAGCTCTTCCTTGACACACCTGTCTTCTCCTTTCCTCAGTCCACTTCGACTGCTCTGGAAAGTACAGGTGTCGCTCATCTTTCAAGTGCATTGAGCTGACGGCTCGATGCGACGGGGTCTCGGACTGCAGGGACGCGGAGGATGAGTACCGCTGCGGTAAGGCCACGCTCTTCCCCGTGGAAGCGCCACTCAGCCCCGACCTTCCCCATCTGGGAGGTGGGTCCGGGTCCGTGCCACTGTCGGGGCTCAGCCTTAACTGGGATCTAACAGGCATTCTTCCCCAGGGCTTGCTGAGCTGGGACAGGGGGGCTGAGATCTGGGGCTGAGACGCAGCCGGGGGGACAAAGGAGCAGTAAGAAGGGAGCTGGGGGGCCAGGCATGCCCTCGGGGGGACGTGCCGTGGGCGGGGGGAGGGGCAGGGCGGAGGCGGCAGAGGAGGGACCCGAGCCGGCTGCACAGAGGTCTCCACCGCGGGCCCAGGCCCGCTGGCCGCTAACGGACGGCTCTTCCCGCGCCGGCCAGTGCGCGTGAGTGGCCGCCACGCGGCGCTCCAGGTGTTCACGGCTGCTGCCTGGAGGACCGTGTGCTCTGACGACTGGAGGGGTCACCACGCTAACGTCGCCTGTGCCCAGCTGGGGTTTCCAAGGTAACGGACGGAGCATTGCTGGCGGGTAGAGCCTTTGATGGCGGTGACAGTGCAGGGAGGAGGCTGCGTCCCCACGGCAACCGCAGGCCACAGGTGTGCGCACTGAGACCACGCACTCAGTGCAGTGATCATCACACACGGGCACGCACACGTACACACACGCGCACGCACACACCATTTACATATACACATACACGCATGTGCACACACACAAACACACGCACACACAATTCACACATACGCAGACATGCACACGACATATATGCATAAACACACACACTGCACATGGGCACACCTACCCCCCATGCATATGCACACATTACACACAAACACACCACACACATACATTCACACATACCTGCATACACCACACACATGCACACACGTGCACACACATACGTGCACACACCACTCACATATACACATACACGCATGTGCGCGCACACATACACATATGCACACACGCACACACCATTCACATATACACAAACATGCACTGCACACACATACACATATGCACACACACCACAAGACATATACACATACATACACACACAGCACACAGGCACACATACCCCCCACACATACGCACACATATACACATGAACACACCACACACATACATTCACACATATCTGCACACACCACATACAAGCACACACACCATTCACATACACACATACACGCACATACACACACATATGCAGACACCATTCACAAATACACACATGCACACACACCATTCCCATATAAACACACACATGCACACACCATTCACATATACACATACACATGTGCACACACATGCACACACACCACACGACATATATACATACCCCCCAAGCATACACACACATATACACACGAACACACCGCACACATACATTCACACATACCTGCATACACCACACACATGCACACACACAGAGGCACACACAGCACATGCTATATACACATATGCGCACACATACACACATAAATACACACATACACTGGCATACACACCACACCCACATGCACACCACATATTTAAACACATAGTGTACACAAAATGGACACAGCACACACGTACACACAGCATACACTCTACATACACATACATATACACATGCACACACACGCCATGTTTGCCACACATCACCCCTACACACATACCTGCACACACACGTACACCACACACAAACATGCATACATACTATATCACACACAGCACATCAGGTACCTGTGCACACACAAACACCACATCACACACACACTAAGTCACACACACACACGCACACACACACTCACGCACACACGCACTCACATACCACCAACAGCACCACCATTACTGCAAACAGCTGAAAGCCTCCGCGGGCATTTCTGTTCCCTGCATGGACCTTTCCAGGACTCACGGGGGGGGGGGCCATCCCTCCCCCTTCCCGGCGCCCCTGCTTCCCCATCCCAGAGCTCCACCCCTTCCCCTGAGCCCCACGGCCTCCCTCAGCTGTGCAGAAGGACCCAGAAACCCCTGTCTGCCCAGGGGGGAGAGTCCTGCCCACCTTTCATGAGCCCCCCCAGACGACACGCAGCCAACGCCGTTTCCCCCGGCTGCCTCTCAACGCGGCCCGTTTCCTTCCCTACAAGCCCGTCCTTCCCTTCTCTTCCCGGGGCTTCAGTTCCCAGAGGCACTTCTGTTCCCTTCTTGTTTTTTCTCCCTACTTCCCTCCGAAAGCCCCCCTTTGCCCTTCTCTGCTGGGATGTGTCCTGTGTCAGCTGCCTGTGATGAAAGAAACAGGGGGTACCGCTGAGCCGGATCGCCTGGGTTCGAATCCCCCCATCCTGCACCCAGTTCCCTGACTTGGGCCTCGGAAATCGGGAGAACAGTCGTGGCTGCTTTTAAGGGTCATGTCAGGTTCCGGCGGCCTCGGAGCGCGTAGGAGCGAGCCTGGCTCACAGTGTCGCCCTCGGAGAGCTGGCGGCCTGCGGTCCCCACCTCCTGGAGGCCACATGGTTTATGGGGTTCCCGGCGTGGTCCCCTTGCGTCCCCCACCCTGCCGTGGCCAGCCCGCCCGCATCGGGCTCTCTGTGCCGTCTTGGGGCCCAGGGCCCAGCGCCTGTCCTGTTAGTGGTTGTGTGACCGATCCCGGGGGGGGGGTGGCGGCGACAGCACTGATTGTCCTCAGAGCCCGCGCCCCACGGAACCCTGTACCGCACACACACTGCCGCCCCCCGCGGCACTTCCATGACCCGATGCAACTCTGTATGACACCCTGGTGTGCCAGGGAGCGGGGCGAGCCAGCGCTCATGCCATGAGAGAGGGGAGGCTGCCGGTCACTGACCACCCTCGTCCCAGAACTTGAGTCTTTAAAATAGTGCCTTCTTTACCACTGCCTCCGAAGACCCCTTTCCCGATACTTGAAACGTCTGCTGGTCCTGGGCCTCCATGAGCCTTTTCCTTCCATGTTCCTCTCTCTCCGGTGGGAGCCACACCAGCTCTGGCTTTCGCTCTCCCCTATCTATTACTCTTGGGGGCGAGGCACCCCCGCTCCGGGGCCCTCCTGGAAAGACCCCGCTCAGTTCTCTGCTCCGCTCTCAGGAGCTCTCGGGCTTGCTTCAGGCTACCCGGCTACATCAGGACGCGGCCCTCCCCGCCCTGTGCCCTGGGCCTGCGGGGGCGGAGGGGCCGCGGGGTGGGGGCCAGGAGCGTGCGCGGTCCCAGACTATGCAAGGTCTCGAATGCCTTCCCAAGCCGACAAAGGAAGCTGCTGATGGTTTGGTGTTGGAGGCGGGGGTGACGCCGCCCACGACACATGTGGCTTCCTGAGTCGAGCACCGGGGAATCTGATGCCGAGGGAATTCACGCGTCAGGTCTGCGTTCCCGATGTGCTTGCAGCTACGTGAGTTCAGACGCCCTCAGGGTGGGCCTGCTGGAGGAGCAGCTGCGAGAAGACTTCGCTTCCATCAATCACCTCCTGCCTGATGACAAAGTGACCGCTCTACACCACTCGGTGTACGTGAGGTAGGCGCCAGGCGGTGCTGCTGTCTGCTTGGCCACCTCGGCTAGACTGGATGGGCCCATCGGAACCAGGCGGAGACGCCCGGCAGAGGGAGGTGGGGAGGGGCACGGGTGTGTGTGCGGGACAGGATGGGGGACAAGGAAACGAGAAAGAAAAAGACTAAGACAGACACGTATCATCCGTCTGCGAAGTACTTAACGCTCCCCGTTTCTATTCCATGTTTCCCCAGCATCTCGTGGGGAAGGTAAAATAAGATACCCTTACGTGACGGGTGCCCGACGCCCAGCGGGTCCCCGCCAGGTCCCCTGCCTCCACGGTCGGGCATCTCCATATGCTCTTCTGGGCACGTCAATCCCAGGAGCGTGTCCTCTGCTCTGGGAAGCGACAGCTGGTCAGCCTGTCATTGCATAGTTCACAGTCCCCCTGGGACCCACATGCGATTCGTGGGGACATCTGATCCCTTGTGTCCTAAAACCTCATTCTGGTGACTCTCCTTTTTCCTTGCATGATTGCATGACCGGACTCGGGCTCGGAAGGCAGGGGAGTCACAAAGGGACGCGGCTGGATGTGACCCCGCTCCCGCCCACGCGAGGGCGAGCGCGTGTCATTTCCGGAGCAATCACAGCTGTTCTGGGGAGCAGGGTGGCCCGGCTGCAAGGACTTTGTGACGGGAGAGGCTGCCACGCCGTCCAAAGGGCCCTTGGTGTCCTCCGGGGCCCAAAAGACACCGGGGTCAAATCCACCACACGACGCAGGCGCACGACTGTATGACACGCTCCTCCGCATCTCCAATCACCAGCTGCAAAGCTCAGAAATGCTCATGGCCCTGTCGCACGCACAATCCTTCATGGTAGCCGCGTGTTTCAGGGTGACTGTGTGACCTCACGCTCGTGTCGTGGACTAAAACTGTGATCTGTGTTCAAGGGGAGGGGAATAGAGTTCATTTTTCTTTTACTCCAAGATGAAGTCTGCAAAAGGGCTCGTTTCACAGACCTCTGGGCCTTCACCGGAAACCTGCTCTTTTCCTCCTCAGGGAAGGGTGTGCCTCGGGTCACGTGGTCACCTTGAAGTGCACGGGTAAGTGTTCTCAGTCGTGGAGACGGCTCACAGACTCCTGTCCCCCTCCCCTCCGCAGATTGCCCGGGGCCCCACTCCCAGGTGCCGCGTGGGAACACTTGGACCCCACCTGATGGAGGAGGAGGGCAGTGCTGGCCCCTGTCGCCTGTTGGAGGCGGGGGAGGCAGCCCAGAGCATCTTCTCAGCAACAGACGGGGCCACGGTCGTCTCCCCACGCCCCTTCCCGCCAAAGGGAAAAGCCTGCGCGGCTGCTCAGTGCCCCGGGCTCTTTGCTGCTGGCAGCGGGAGGGTTTGCCCCGCGGGGTGGGGTCTGGAGAAGTCGGGGCCGTGCAGGCCACCCTGCACTTCTGAGGAGAGCGCCCCAGAAGCCTGGCTCCCACGCTCCCAGGGAGCAGTGGTCACAGCGGGCTCGTGGGCGTCACCCAGAGGGGCGCCGTCCACACCGGCCCTGCCCACTGCCCCCTACGTCCCGGGACCTGCTCCTCTTCTCCCCTCCCGCTCTCTCTCAGCTGTGAGCTCTACGAGGGTGGCAGATGTCGGGGGGGGATCTGTGGATGTGACACCAGTTTCCCCAGGAAGGTCTGTGGGATCAACCCCGAGCCCCATTCTGTCTCCGCAGCCTGCGGTCTGAGAACAGGCTACAGTGCGCGCATCGTGGGAGGAAACATGTCCTCGCTGGCGCAGTGGCCGTGGCAGGCCAGCCTTCAGTTCCAGGGCTACCACTTGTGTGGCGGCTCTGTCATCACGCCCGTGTGGGTGGTCACCGCCGCCCACTGCGTCTACGAGTAAGTGTGCCCTGGGCTCCCGGGCGTGTGTGTCTACAAGTGAGTGTGCCCTGGGCTCCTGGGCGTGTGTGTCTACGAGGAGTGTGCCCTGGACCCCCCGGGTGTGTGTGTCTACGAGGAGTGTGCCCTGGACCCCCCGGGTATGTGTGTCTACGAGCGAGTGTGCCCTGGGCTCCCGGGCATGTGTGTCTACGAGTGAGTGTGCCCTGGGCTCCTGGGCGTGTGTGTCTACGAGGAGTGTGCCCTGGACCCCCCGGGTATGTGTGTCTACGAGGGAGTGTGCCCTGGCCCCCTGGGTGTGTGTGTCTACAGGTGAGTGTGCCCTGGTCCCCTGGGCATGTGTGTCTATGAGTGAGTGTGCCCTGGCCCCCCGGGCGTGTGTGTCTACAGGTGAGTGTGCCCTGGACCCCCCAGGTGTATGTGTCTACGAGTGAGTGTGCCCTGCCCCCCCCGGATGTGTGTCTATGGGTGAGTGTGTCCTGGCCCCCCGGAGGTGTGTGTCTATGAGTAAGTGTGCCCCTGGCCTCTGGGATGTGTGCATCTATGAGTGAGTGTACCCTAGCTCCCTGGGCGTCTGTGTCTACGAGTGAATGTGCCTTGGCCCCCTGGGCATGTGTGTCTATGAGTGAGTGTGCCCTTGGTCTCCCGGGCGTGGGCCTCACTGCCCGCAGATCCCCGTCTAGACTGGGCAGATGTCAGGGCTCAGCAGTGGGTCCAGAAACTGGCAAACAGACCAGAGAGTCACAGGTAACATCCAGTGGAAGGACCCTGTCACCCTGGACACCCGCTGTGGCCGTGGGCTGTGACTCCGAGCTCATTCTGAGGCTTTCAGGCCCGCAGCTCTGACCGGGGGGTGGGGGGGGAGAAGGCACCGGAAGGAAGCTCTCATGCGGGGAGATGGCGCCAGCCTCCCGGCCGCACTCCCGGGGACGCAGGGTGGCCAAGGGGCGGGAGGCAGTGAGGGGGGGGGCAGCGCCGGGACAAAGCCACAGGGAGGCTCCCACATGCAGCTTGTTCTCTGCCCGCTTGTTTGGTTTTGTTTGTCTTTGCCTTGCGCTGGTTTGGCTGCTGTCTGACGGCAAATGGGCCCCGACAGACCCGGCACAGCCTCAAATGTCGAGAAGCCCCCAGGCCTGTCGATGGAGTGCACCGGGGGCACCTGAACCTGTTCGGGGCAGGGGTGCGGTCAGCGTACGCGGGGGAGGCGGGAGCCGCCGCATCCACCACCCGCCTGGCACAGGGTCTCTGACGGTTGAGGTCCGCGGGTTAGAGTGTTGGGGGCTTTCTCGCTTCCCCTCCCTGACGTCTCATTGCAGCCTGTACGTCCCCAAGTCGTGGACCATCCAGGTGGGTCTGGTCTCCCTGCTCGACAGTCCGGCCCCTTCCCACCTGGTGGAGAAAATCATCTACCACAGCAAGTACAAGCCCAAGAGGCTGGGCAACGACATCGCGCTCATGAAGCTGGCCGGGCCCCTCACCTTCAACGGTACGTCCCGTCCCTCTGTCTTCCTGTTGCTCGCCTGCGTCTCCAGATTGTCTGAATTGTCCGCTGAAGCATCTTTACGACAGCCGCCTTGGCATCCGTGCCGGGTAATTCCGCTGGCTGATTCGTTTTTGGCCGGCGTCGGTTTATCATCTGCTCTCACCGGAGCGGTGACTCGCCTGGTTCTTGGTATAATGAGTCCGGTCCCATAGCATCCCGGACGCTGGGCTACTGTGTGAGGAGCCGCTGGGTCCATATCCGTCTTCGGCTTTAGCAGGAGGTGACCCTGGGTCACTGTGCATAACATGCCTACCTTATAGGCTGTGCTTCCGAGGGCATTTGATTTTGAGACTATGTGGTTCTACTTCAGGCAACTCAGTTCATCTGGTATCACTGGGGCTCCCACCGGTGCCACTTGCTTCCTGCTGGTGGTGCCTGGAGGTGAAAGGGGCTTCCCCAGCCCAGGCTACCTGGTACCTCCAGGCGGTAGAAGGGGGTCTCTGGCCCGTGGGGACAAAGAGCTGTTCCCTGTCCTGGAGCTGGTTGGGGTAGGGTCCCTGCCAGGGCCATACCTCTGCCCAGTGTCTGAGTCGTGGACTTCCCAGGTCAGCCAGTGGCTGTAGGGCGATCGTCCCCGCAGCCATTTCTTTACGAGCCAGAAGACACTGGGCACCTTCAGCTCCCGGAGGGACTCAGAAGCGTTCTCTCCCAGCCAGCGGCCACGTTCAGCAGGCCACGTTTCTCGGTGGGAAATAGCGAGTCCTGGCCTCTGGAAGGTACCAAAATGCCAGAGACGCCAAACAGGATAGAAAGCTCAAAGCTCTGGCACAGGCAAAGGAAGGATTGTGAGCCTACTCTGCTCCTAAATAAATCAAAGCCCCCTCCCCCTCCCCAGCCTACAGCAGCCCGGGACACGGGCAGAGGGACGGTCAACGGGGCCCCTTGTGCATGGGGTCAGGGCACAAGACCAGTGACAGCTTTGACCTGAAGCACCGTAGTGTGCTTGTCACACGGCACATCCAATGCTCCATGTAACTCTTGAAACAAGTGTTTCTGGAGAAACAGAGACCCTGTAAAGTGGTGCTTGTTTCTTATCACTGGTGACACTTGGTTACAAAAGATGAGGTGCCAATGCCTTTTACTGTGTTTTTTCTTTTTTGTTTTTTTTAAGTTTATTTATTTATTTTGAGAGAAAGAGAGAGTGTGTGAGCAGGAGAGGGGTGGAGAGAGAGAGGGAGAGAGAGAATCCCCCGCAGGCTCTGCACTGTCAGCTCAGAGCCCAACTCGGGGCTCGAACTCATGACCCGAGGGATCATGACCTGAGCCGACATCAAGGGTCAGACGTCTAACCGACTGAGCCCCCAGGAGCCCCGACACCTTTTAATGAAAGTTAACGAGCACGCTTATTATTTCTCTGCCTTTCCACCACCGTCCTCTGCAGAAAAATCCAGAGCGTGTCAGAGCGTACTCGCACATCAGCGTCCCCGCAGCGGCGATGCCGTCTCTGGCAGACAGCTCATGAGACGTAGCCCGCAGGGACGGGGAAACTTCTTGCCTCCAGAAGTGTCCGGAGGGACAGGAATACTAATGGAGGGATGTTTCGTAAGGCAACGTGCCCGTGGTCCACACCAGGAGTGGGCAAGCCAGGGCCCCGGGGCCAAAGCTGACCCCTTTGGCTGTTTTTGCAAATAAAGCTTCAGTGGCACACGAGCAGATGCGTTGGTGGCAGATTGGAGCAGTTATGGCAGAGACCACGGGGCCACAAAGCCCCAGGTATTTACTGTGTGGCCCTTGACAGAAGAGATGCCAGCCCCGGGTCCAGACTCACTCACGGTGCCACGGTGTAGGCTTGTCTCAAGCTTTACGGCTCTGGCGGGAAGAGGTCCCTGCTCTGAGCTGGTAGCTTTCAAATGACCGAGGCCTTGACCTTTCTCTGGGAGACCGTTTGAGCTCCTCGAAGGGGCAGACGCCGGGGAGATTCATTGTTTTCTTGGGCTAGTGCTCCAGCCGAGTTCAAGGCCGTTGTTTCCCCTTGGAACAGAGATGATCCAGCCCGTCTGTCTTCCCAACTCCGAAGAACAGTTCCCCGACGGAAAAATGTGCTGGACGTCGGGATGGGGGGCCACGGAGGACGGAGGTTAGTCATCCGGAATCGAGGTTTCCGAGTCCAGGGAGCCCAGAGCGGCGAGGCCGAGGTGGATGCCCCTGACTGCATGCTCCTCAGTGTCTCAGGACAGCGTCCCCGAGGGAGGCTCACACATCCCGGGCAGGGGGTGTGGGTTGCCCGCTGGGCACACGCTCTCCGCAGAGCAGCTGTGGGTCAGAGTCACGGTTCCGTTTGCCGTGGGGCGTGAAAGGGCAGCCTTAGTCAGGAGAGGAACGGATCAGAAAGGAGAACGGCAGACACCCCTCGTCCGGAGACCTTCCCCAAACCACCGGGGGTCTCCTTCCTCCGCTTCCCCCCACCCCAAGCACACAAGGACCCCATAGAGAACCCCTCCCGGGGTCTATTCGGAAGACAGGTGTTTGTGACCAGTGAGGACTTTGGAAGATGTGTTACTTCCCTCAAGCAGAGGAAGCAGGCATACGGAACCATCCCGCTGTACTCCTAACGGAAGTAGTCATAGTAAGAGCAGCGCACGCCTCTGGAACCCGCCCTCTCCGTCACTGGGGGGCACACGTGTGCTCACTCCCCCGGAGGTTTTCCACCAATTGCCTTCCTTCTGGCAGGAAGCTTGTGGGTTTCCTGGGGGCCTTTAATACCAGAGTCTCATTGTCTCTCAGCTCCGGAGCTCTGCCATCGAAGTGTCACAGGGTTGGTCCCTTCTGGAAGCTCTGGGGGCGAAGAGCATGTCCCCAGCCTCTTCCCCGGCATTCAGTGCCCCAGCCATCCATGGCCTCCCTCGGCTGGTGGACTTCATGTGCCCTCCTACCCCGCGGCTCAGATCTCTCCCCTTTCTCTATAAGTCACCCTAAATCCAGGGTGATCTCATTTTGAGATTTTTTTAAAAAGTGTTTTTACATTTATTTATTTTTGAGAGACAGAGAGAGACAGAGCATGAGCAGGTGAGGGGCAGAAAGACAGGGAGACACAGAATCCAAAGCAGATTCCAAGCTCTGAACTGTCAGCACAGAGCCCGACGCGGGGCTCGAACCCACGAACCGTGAGATCATGACCTGAGCCGAAGTCAGACGCTTAACAAACTGAGGCCCCCAAGCACCCCAGATTTTGAGATTCTTACCTTAACTACATCGGCAAAGACCCTACTCCAAATAAGGGCACATTCTAGGATCGCAGGTGAACCTGGGTTTTTTTTTTGGGTGGGTGCAATCCATCCCAATATAGGAAGTTCAGTATTTTCCTCCAGAGGCTCGTTGGTTGGGTCTACGCCCCCCTGAATGCCCCAGGCACACCAGAGCCCACCTGGATCTGCCGTGCACAGCATGTCCTCTGTGCAGCTTGTTACTTCCTCTCGCTCGTATTAGAAGCTTCTTCCACAGGCACGCTGAGCTCGGTGTCACCATGTCCCAGGTGCTGGGCCGGATGTCTCGGTGAGATGCCGTCTGCTCCCAGCAGCCCCTCAGCGCGGAACTGTTTTTGTGGTTGTCTTGAGGGCGAGGAGGGTGTGGGGGAGCTGAGCACCCACGACCAGGTGGGGGGAGTCTGGTGCATTCCCGCTCCCCCAACAACCCTGGTCGTATCATTTCTCATAACTCGCAGTGTCAGATTATTTCACTACTTTGCTAGATCCTGTGGGGCGAGCAGGGCAGGGTGCCCATCTCAGCCCTGGCTCTGGCCGGTGGTCCCCATGCAGGTGGCTGTGTGGGTGGATTGAGGAAGCCTGTGCAGAAAACAGGGTATAATTCACACTCAGAGGACACTTACAATGTGGTTTGAGGAGCTCAGGCTGCACCGTTCACTTGCTGACATGTGCTGGGGACGCGGGAATCAAGGCGTGTCCCCTGTTGTAAGCCCATGAAGCATAAAGACAACGGGTTGACAAACGGGTTAAGTGACAGGGTGTTGATCCTTGGGGTGGGTGGTGAGGCTGGTCCAAGGGCAGATGCACCATTTCCTCTTGTGGCAGCAGGAAGTCCAAACTTAGTGGCTTTAAACCCACGAGTGTATTATCTTACATTCAGGGAGGCCAGGAGTCCCGGAGCGTCTCAGGGGCCGCCAGAGGTTCTGAAGAGAGCGGGCTCCCTGGCCTTTTCCAGGACCAGGGACCCCTCTCCCCACCCCGGCCGCTGGCAGTGCCCCGGCCGGTCTCCCTCCTGTCTGATCTCTGCTCCACACCATCGAATCTTCCCCTCTGACCCTTTTAAGGCTCGTGGTGACATCCAGAGCTGCCCCAGGCCGCCCAGGATCATGTCTCTATCTCAGGGCCCTTTTGCCATGGAAGGTGACATGGACATGGGTCCCCAGGGTTGGGAAGTGGAAGTCTTTGGGAGGACACTTTTCCACTGACCACATCCAGGTTCTGCCCACAGACTGTGCGGGAGATCTCCACGGGCCTCGGTTTCCCTTCTGTAGCCCGGATGGCTCTGAGGACCGAACGGGCCGGCATGGGTCGAGTGCTTGGCCCGAGGTGGGCCCTGGGGGGCTGTCCATGCTGGCTACTGCTGCCCCCCCTCCCGCACTGGCCACTTTGGGGAAGTGAGTGGCCCTGGTGTGGATCAATGGGGCTGCACGGCCCCCTCCTCAGGGAGCTTGCCACAGCCCACAAGCCATCCATCCACCTCCAGGAGCAGCCCCTAGTGGTGGCGAGCCCCTCACCCCGCCCCGGCGCGTGCCCTCGGATTCCGGGCGGGGCCCCTCACGCGCTCCCTGCCCCTGCTCCGCCGCAGGCGACGCCTCCCCGGTCCTCAACCACGCAGCGGTGCCCTTAATCTCCAACAAGGTGTGCAACCACAGGGACGTGTACGGCGGCATCATCTCCCCCTCCATGCTCTGTGCCGGCTACCTGAAGGGCGGTGTGGACAGCTGCCAGGTAGGGGCCCCTGGTCACCGCCAGGGGCCACGGTGGCGGGCGAGGCTCTGGAACGGTGACCTGGCCTGTGGGAAAGGCCACTGCCCGCCTTTCCCCGTGATTGACTCAAAAGCAAATTTGCAGGGCGCTGGGAAGAAGTTTGCTCAAGATACCACTCCCTTTCCTGGCCGCGGGCCTAGTGTGCCCAACGCTCCCACTCTGCCCGGCTGCCCATGGCGGGAGGGGTCTCCTGGGTGCTCCTGGCCCCCGCCCTGGCTCTCAGAGTTTGCGGGGGGAGGGGTGGCGGGGGCGACAGGAAGGCGGGAACCCGTGAATCTGGGCCTACGAAGCCACAGCTGGTAAGACTCCAACCCTGTTTGAGCCCAGCCCCCACAGGCAGACCCTCCCTCTGAGCTGCCTTGACCTTCACGGCTCAGCACATCCAACATCTGGCAGGGGGGCACCGGGGACCCCAAGGTTGGGAGTGCCTGCGTCCCTTCTCGGAGGCTGGGGGTGCAATGTGGAGCCATTGTGAAGCTGAGTTTGAGATACAGAGTGGGGGGTCCTGGTGCTGAGACAAGGGACACGCATGGCAGCGCCTTTCTCCTCGACATCTAGGGGGACAGCGGGGGGCCGCTGGTGTGTCAGGAGAGGAGGGCGTGGAAGCTGGTGGGGGCGACAAGCTTTGGCATCGGCTGTGCTGACGTGAACAAGCCGGGCGTCTACACACGCATCACCTCCTTCCTGGACTGGATTCATGAGCAGATGGAGGTGGGTGCAGCTCGCGCCGGCCCGTCCCTGGCCGCCAGCGTCCCTTCCTGCGGCCCCAGCGCTGCTGTGCGGATCCAGGGAGCCAGCGCCTGGCGTGTGTTCAGCACGCAGGGCTCCGTGGCCTCTGAGGGTTGGACGTGGCTGCTCCCACGGGCAAGACTCTGTGAGGGCGTGGCCCTGGTGGGGCAGGGACACACAAGGGGGGCCGAGGCAGAAAGGCCAAGGACAAACTTCCTCCACTGAGTGGGGGATAGGGGACGGGTGGCCGACGAAGAGCCCCTGGGGTGGAGATGAGGCCAGTGAGCACGTGTGCAAGGAGTAGAGCACGGACAAGGTGCAGACAGCGGGCGAGGGTGTGAGTCTGCAGGCCCCCAGTGCCCACTGAAGAGTTTGGACCTTGCCGAGAGCCTGGGATGGGCTGGAGAGTCTATGATCTCAGGGCGAGGTGGGGGGGGGGGCACACAGCTTTGCACTTTGGGGCAGCCTCCCTGGAGGCGGGTGCCGGAAGAGGGGGGCAGGTCAGTGAGGCTGGCTTGGCAGGACCGGGGAGGGCGGGAGGAGGGAGGGACATCCAGCCCTGGGGGAGCAGGGGGGAGGCGTGGGGGGACCCGGCCACACAGAAACCTCAACAGAACAGCCTTCTTTCTACCTTGTGGGCACTCAGCAAGCATTTGTGGACTTGACCTCCTGCTTAGAGCCTGCGTTTTTCACGCCTTAGAGTAGCTTCAAAGGACTTGAGATTTTCCTTTTTTTTTTTTTTTAAATGTTTATTTCTAGGAGACAGAGAGAGAGACAGCATAAGCAGAGGAGGGTCAGAGAGAGAGGGAGTCACAGACTGAAACAGGCCCCAGGCTCTGAGCTGGCAGTCAGCACAGAGCCCGACGCGGGGCCCGAACGCACGAACCGCGAGATCATGACCCAAGCGAAAGTCGGACGCTTAACCAACTGAGCCACCCAGGCACCCCTTTCCTTTTGTTTTTAAAATGAAGGCCAAATTTATGTGGCATAAAATCAACCATTTTAAAGAGGACATTCCAGCCGTATCCAGCCTCTCCAGAGGGCTGTGCGGCCGGCACCCGGATGTTCCAAGATCCGGAATGTTTTCACTCCCTGAACTGAGCCTCATAAGCAGTCACCATCCTGCCCCCCCCCGACCCCCCCAGCAGGCTCCACACTCAGCACACACCCCCATCCAGGGCTCGATCCACCGTGAGATCATGACCTGAGTAGAAACCAAGAGTCGGATGCTCACCCGACTGAGCCCTGCAGGTGCCCGAGGAAGTTTTGCTTTTCAAGGAGAGGCTGCATAGACTTGCCCCCGTGCAGGCTGAGGCCTGGCTTGACTGCGGGTCCTGCTGTGGCGTACTGGGCATTGTCCGCAGGTACCAGTGACTCTCCATCCAGGGCCGGCTCATTGCGAGGACAATAGGCCTTTTCTGGAAATGTCCGCTGGCCCTCATCTTAGACAGACTGGCCCGCTGCTTATCTCTGGGACATGTCACATTCTTAAGCACAGAATTCAGCCCAAACCCATCAACCTCTTTGGAAGCCAGAGGACAGACTTTGGTTTTCAAGAGCAGTCCCCTGGCTGCAGTGGCCTCGAGGCCGGTGACGGGACCTCAGGGTGCGGAGGGCCCTGTGGGTGTGGGGGGTGGAGGGCGGGGGAGGGACAGTCGCCCACAGAGCCACAGAGGCGCTCCCTCCACGCAGCTGCATCCAGGGACAGACGGTCCATGTGACCGAGCGAGGAATCAGGAAAGTCAAGGTCAAAACGGGCACAAGTCCAGGAAGCCCAGTCCCTGTCTTCAAGCTGTGGAGGGGGGCTGCCTCCTAAGCGGACGAGATTCTAAAGTCTGGGACCTTCTAACCAGCGCACCGGGCGATGGCTGGGCCGGGTTCCCTCAGCGCCGTCTTGGGCGGCAGGTCCTCGGACCATCCCTTCATTACAATGAGGGGACCCGGGTGAGGCCCCCGGAGCTAGTGACTTCAGTCCCAGCACACGCCGCTGGGACCTCCACTGTGGGGGTGCGGGACTCTCCCTGGCTGTTTGTGCACACGGAGTACCCCCAGGCCCCTTTTCCGGAGGATCTGATCAGGGGGTGTAGGGTGAGGGTCCTGGCGAGTTTGATGGGAAACACTGGTGCCGGCCATGCGGCTCCCTGGGAGGGCGTTCCAGAGAGCTCCCTCCCTCCCTGGCCCCAGGTGAGCAGTTTCACCAGCAATGGGTGGATGGTGGCTGATAGTTCCCTTGAGGCCTGAGACTCTGTAGTCACCAGCTGCCTCGGGGCCACTGGGGGCCAGTATGTGACACACCCTTTTGCAAATGTCTTCAGAGGTCCTGGGGAGGCGGATGATCCACAAGAGTCTTCCTTCCCCAAGGGAGGCTTTCTAGAGGGCCTGCCTTTTTGTCTGTTTCCTCGAACATGGCGCACGGGCCTTCCGTGACCATGGAACCGGCCCCTTCATCAGCTGACGGGTCTGCCCCTGGGTCATCTTCTCTCTTATCCACTAAGTTCTGTCCTTGGGGAGTAAATCGTAACTGCTCTGACTCAAACCAGGACTCCGGAGCACGAAGCCGGGGCTGGGGGAGGCACGGGAAACTAGAGGAAGGACTCAATCAGGGACCGCCTCGCGGAGGCCAACCTTGTCCCCACTGATGCTGGGGACCGCCCCATGGGCCAGTTGTGACAAAATGCAGGTGCCCACTCAGTCTTGGCACTGGAGGCCGGCTTGACGGGCTAAAGAAGGTAACAGCTGTGTTTTCATTTCCAGAGGGACCTGAAAACCTGAAGAGAGGGGAATGGGCCGCCATTTTGAGTTCCCGCCATGATGGAGACACCCGTCCTTCCACGGGTCCCCGGGGGGGAAACTTGAGGCATGAGCCAGTGCCTCCAGAGCTCTTCCTCATGGCACCACCGCAGAGCCCCAAGAAGGAGAATCTTTCTGTCCCTGAGCCTCTAGAATAGCTCGCTCCTAGCCCCTCAACAAGCTCCTGGGGTGTTGGGCTAAAATGGCCCTGAAGCTCCTTTGTGACGCGACCTTCACCGAGCTCAGAAGCAGGAACGCCTTCCTGGTGCTACCTGGTCCCCCCCCCCCCAACCCGGTCCATCTGGTTCTCTCTGCCCTGGGGCATTCGCCACCATGACTGATGAGCCTGGAGAATCTCACCACAAGTCACACCAGCGCTCAGTGGGGACATGCCAGCCCGGAGCCGCAAGGGGGCGTCGTGGTAGATGTCGCTGTCTGTGCAATTTTTACCCCATGGCAGCGGAACCAAACCAGATCTTTCTACCTCCCAGATCCCTTTTTGCCTGTGAGAACTTCACCCACAAGTGATTCGTTGTGAGGTTTTCTTTCTAGTCTTTCTTTGTAGTATTTGGTGCTTGGTGTAATATTTGTCCCTTCCTTCCGAAGGACGTGTGCACTCTTAACGCATTCGTCCATCACAACTTGTCTGAATGAATACTGACCACTCGTGTAAATTGGAATCATAAACTTAACCGGAGAGCCTTGATTTCTTTTATCTCCTCTAGATGCGTTGTGGGTTTTGCATTTTTACGGTGGAGAATGCAGATGAGAATCCTATCCAAAGACTCGGAAGCAGAGTGTGATGAGAAGGTGCTGGAATAAGACAGGACCGCCCAACCGCAGAGAGGGGTGCCGAAGGCACAGGGGACAGTCACGCGTCATCAAGAGCCTAAAGGCTTCCCTACCTCTCTGCACAGCCCCTGTGGCCTCAGAGACCCCTCCTGGTTACCCACACGCCTTCTGTCACCCCCAAGCACACACGCCACAGGGAAGGGTTGCTTGTGGGCAATTCCCATCCAGAGACACTTTATCACAAATGAAGGCATCAGATGTGAGTCTGTTGCTTTGCCTTGAGGCATCGGTAGGAAAGATGGTGAGTTTCAAGAGCAAGCAGGTGCCTGGGGAGGCGGAGGCTGCGGGAAGACTTCTGGCATGTCCGAGGCCCCGGGGGTCGGGGGCCGCCCAGGAGAGCGGGAGCCGAGGCAGACTGGCCGCTTTGCAGCGGTGCGCTGCCCCACCGACTCTGACTTACTACGCAGATCTCCATGTGTCAGTGACAAGACCGTTTTTATTTTGAGGGGTTTTGCCCAGGCCTCTTCGAAGGTAGAGGTGCGGCCGCTCCTGCGTGGGGCGTCGGAGCTGTGAAGAGAGCAGGGAGGCTGACAGCCTCAGCTGGGAAGCACTTGACCTCGGGGCTGGCACACCTGTACTGCTAGCCATCATGACTCCATTCTCATTTAATGACTATTAAATTTTGTTAGGAAATATTTGCCGTCTTACAATCTTTCAGAAGGGCTTGAGTAAAGCTAACGGCAGGCAATTAATCAGGGTGTAGAGCCTGGCACGGCTCTACCACTTCCCGTGTGCACTGTTTTATCGTCTGAACGACCCTACAAGACAGGATTTATCGTTAGGTCCACATAGATAAGGAAACGGAGGTGTGAGAGGAGTGACTTTCCCGAGCCCGCATGTCGGGCCAGTGGGGCTTTAGGGGGTTTGCAGGCGCACACGACTCCAGCACGAATTAAAGCAACTAACTAACTGCAAAGCCACACGCATTGGCATTTGAGTCTAAAGAGACTTTGCTCCACCAGTTTGAACCCATCTGAGACCTATTAGCCGTTCAATGTCATGGTCAGCTGTTCCTTCCTCAAGAAATGTTTGGTGTCAAAGGAGGCCTTTGCTGGCTCCGACCGCAGTTTCGGGGGTGCAGCTCTTGGCCAGTTTTTTCCTTTTTTCGGGGGATACGGCTTCGCATCTGTGTCACGCCTGGCAGCCAGGTCGGAGTGGGAGCTGGGAGAGAAAGTCCTGACTGGAGCCCCACTAACCTGCAGCCATAGACACAGTCAGGGGAACGTGGCACCGCTGAGGCAGGCTGCTTCCCCTGGTGGCCCGGACCCGAGGAAGCAAGTGCGGGATGTGCATGTCGGGGTTAGTGAATGAGGGGAGCCCATGCCTGTGCCCACAGGTCCCGGATGGTGCCACGGGGACAGTTCCTCTTGTAGGTTATTTTGTGTTTGATAATGGCTGGATTTTAACATTTTAAAAGTATTATGGAAGATCTAACAATATTCCAGAACATTCGGAACTATGAGTGTTATAAACCGGTTGACGACCTAAATGCCAAGTTGGCCATGAAAACCGTGAATGCTTGCCTCCCTTTCCTAAGGGTGGTGGGGGGGGGGTTCCAGATGCCGCAGAAGTCTGACTTCTCCACATTGCACGTGGATAATCTGCCGGCAGCGGTGCAGGAGGTATGAGCCGGGGTGGGTGTGCAAAACTCCACCCAGTCACTGGCCCGGGAGGAAGTTCCAGGTACCAGCCTCCATGTCCAAGGCCTGACGGGCTGCAAGGTGCCCAGATGGGCCACCCGGGGTTGGTGTGCGTGTGTGAGGACCACACTCTCTGGGTGAGCTGACGTGGATTCCTGGTCAGGTCCCCAGGAGCCGGGAGGCACGGGATCTCGCCAGGGACACAGAGATGGAGTAATGGCCAGCAAGCACTGAGTTTCTGCTGCGTAATCTTAAAAAAATTTTTTTTAACATTTTATTTACTTTTGAGAGACAGAGATAAGCACAAATGGGGGCAGGGGGGCAGAGAGAGACACACACAGAATCCGAAATAGGCTTCAGGCTTGGAGCTGTCAGCACAGAGCCCAACGTGGGGCTCAAACTCACAAACTGTGAAATTATGACCTGAGCCGAAGTCAGACGCTTAGCCAGCTTGGCCACCCAGGCGCCCCTCTGCTGTGTAATCTTAAACACGGGCTTCAAATCAGTTACTTTAGACAGTCTACTGGATGGGCCATCTTCTCTCTGCCAGAGGGAATGAGAGAACCCTCACTAAGCCTGCTGCCATGGTGATGGTTTGGGGCAGGACGTTCCCTGAGTCCGCACGGTGGCCGGCTGAGCCGAGGGCATAGAGCTGTGGCCCCTGGACTGTTCCCGTGGACCAGGGACACCTGCGTTCCGGGTCACCTGCCCCTTCTGGGGTGCCTGTGTGCTCTGAATTCCTCCCCAAACGCATGGACCCACGCAGAGGTCATTCTTCGACTCTCCTTATGCCTGGGTGTGCACGTGTGTGCGTGTTCACTTGTGTGTCATTCCATGTACACGGTGACACTCACGTGGCAAAGAAATCACTTCTTTCTGAGCCTGTCTCTCTTTCTAAGCTGAGAGCTCTCTGAGGACACGGCCGTCCGTTCCATTTGGCTTAAAATAGTGATTTATTTTAAAAGTCTCCATATTTCTTCCCTTAAAAGTACAAAACAATGACTGAGTGTGTGAAAAGCGAGTCCCGCCACATGGCCGCTTCTACCCGCTACTGCGCTCTGCCTCCGAAGGGCCAAATCACGTAAAAGCTATGACTCAAAGTCTCGTTCACAGAAAATAGGTCAAAGTGATGTCATTAAGGGATGAGAAATCACAAAGCGGAGAGTTTTTGTCTGTCTGTCTGTTTTTTAAAGAAAGAACGTCCTTCAATTCTCCTGGAAGAAGGGGTATCAGCGTTGCCGAGCTGGAGACGAGTCTGCCACACTTTCTCTACCAGGAGATAGACTCTCCTCCTTCATTCTTTCCATCGAGGCACAGCCTGGAAGCCCCCAGCCTCCCTGCTTTCCTGGGTTGGGGCAGGGGAGGGAGGGGGGCTGCAGAAGAGCTGAGGTCCACCACCTCCCTGTGCATGCTCCAGGGCACCTGCAGACCCTCGTCACGGGGCACCTGCGAGCTCCCTCGTCCCCTGTGGTGCCCACGGCGGCACCCCGTAACTTGTACGATGATACTGATTCCAAACGCAGAATCTAAAGTTCATGCCCCCTTCCCAGAGGCACCGGAGGAAAAGGCAGGGAAGGGGAAGGGACAGAGCGAGGCAGTGTCTGTGGGTCCAGATAGCAGCTGGTTTATCACACTCACCTCCAGAGAGTCGTCGCTGTCATCGTCGTCGTCGTCTTCTTCTTCTTCTTCTTTTTAATCTTTCTAACATTTATTTTTGAGAGAGTGAGAGACAGAGCATGAGCAGAGAAGGAGCAGGGAGAGACACAGAAGAATCCAAAGCAGGCTCCAGTCTCCGAGCTGTCAGCACAGAGCCTGATGTGGGGCTTGAACCCACAGACTGCAAGATCATGACCCGAGCAAAATGAACTAAGCCACCCAGGCGCCCCCAGAGAGCCTTCTTCAAAGGAGACCTAGAAACTTCCCAGGTCTGGCCACCAGGTGGGGCTCTGAGGAAGGCAGCCCACTCATGCCTCCTGGTCACTGGAAAATTCCAGAATCTTTCTGAGGCCCCGGGCAGCTGCCTCCTGGCCTGACCTGGGTGACACGTGTCACCTTCCTCCTGGCTTTGTCACAGGACAGCTTGCTGCCAGACCAGTGTCAGAGCAGCACACCGCAGCCACACCTGGCGGCACCCACCGTGACTCAGAGCCAGCCCCCGGGCAGGCGTCCAGCAAGATCCCAGCCCCAGACCCCTTCCATCCCCCAGGGAGTCAGGCCTGCGGCTACACTCAGCCCCGGGCTCCCCCTGCCTCAGGCAGAGCCCCTCCGTGGGCCCCCGTGGTGGGGGGGGGGGCTGGGAGGCCCCCTTATCTTCCTGGCAGAGGGCAGGGCTGAGGACTCAGTTTATCCCCTCCTGCACCCACTCACACCCCCGGGCAGGAGCCATTGCCAATCACCACGCCCACAGGGTGGTTGAGGAAAAGAACCTTCAAAACGACTTTTTAAAAAAATGTATTTAGTTATATTCAAGTTAGTTCCCATACAGTGTAGTCCTGGCTTCAGGGGCAGAGCCCAGTGATTCATCACACAGGACACCCAGTGCTCATCCGACAAGTGCCCTCCTTCACGCCCCTCACCCACTTAACCCGTCCCCCACCTCCTCTCCAGCACCCGGTTTGTTCTCTGTGTTTAATTCAAAGTGACTTTTTAAAGTTTTCTTTGGTTTGGGCACCCGGTGGCTCAGTCGGTTGAGCGTTGGACTTCGGCTCAGGTCGTGATCTCACAGTTCGTAGGTTTGAGCCCCGCGTCAGGCTCTGTGCTGACAGCTCGCTCAGAGCCTGGAGCTGTGTTTCCCTCTCTCTCCGCCCCTTCCCTACTTATGCTCTCTCTTTCTCTCTCTAAAAATTAAACATACATTAAAAAATAAAAAAAAATTTCTTTGGTTTATGTGGTCACAAAAACTATGATTTCAGAATCATTCTTATCAGACTACTTTTGTAACTGAAGTTTTCATTGGGATGATAGACTCACACGCAGCCACAGGAAGAGTGTGGAGAGGGGTCTCCTGCAGACTGTCCGGTTTTCCCCTAATGATAGCATTTCACAAAAATACAGCCCAGCAGCACAAGCAGGCCATCGCCACTGGTTAAGATCCACTGGTTTTGAAAAAAAAAATGTTTTTTAATGTTTGTTGATTTTTGAGATAGAAACAGAACACAAGCAGGGGAGGGGCAGAGAGAGGGAGACACAGAATCGGAAGC